TTTTGCTGCAAAACCCTACTTCATCTAGTGACGTGAAATACAAGAAGGAAAGACTGCTCATTTAGTGCAACCAAATCCAATGAACTCCAAGAAAATCTAACGAAACTCTGGAAAAGCAAACAAATCCCACAAGGTATAACAAAATCCCACAGAATCTATCAGAAAACAACCAAATCTAACAGTTTCAGCAAACCCTGAAGAACAAAAAAAGTCAACAAAGTGCCCCTGCATGACCCCTAAGAATAAGGCTGCACAGAGCCCTCAGAGGCAACAAGGAAAGGCGACGGTTACCATGGCGATCTTGAATCCCATGCCTTCCTGGCCCAGCAGGTTCTCCCTGGGGATGGCGCAGTCCTCAAAGATGAGCTCGGTGGTGGAGGATGCCCGGATGCCCAGCTTGTCTTCCTTCTTGCCCAGGGAGAGACCCTCGGTGGGCTTGGGAACGATGAATGCGCTGATGCCCTGTATAGATAAGGGAGGCACCGAGACAGACGGCTGGTATTGAGTCATTTTCATCAGCCAGGGTTTCCCCTTCTGGTCCGTCTGATGAATGATGTATGCTACCAACAGTCTCCTGTAACTTACTGGAATGACCACGAGCAATGGATGCTTGGAGATAACAAAGTGTCCTCTGTGTATCAGTACAGTGCATAACTAAGCCTCGGCAGCACAAACATGCATAGCTTCTCAATGGGTCGCTTCAACTCAGTGGTCAAGCAGAGTAGGACATCTGCACAAGCAAGCAGGAAGCTGTGGGATTGAAACCCAACCAAGCAGGCTTGTGATTTTTCACAACTCCTGTACCGCACTGACAATGCAGTGTGAATAATTCACACACACGTCGGTGGAAGGGCAAAACCTGATACAACGTCAAGTCAGTCCTGAGGTAATGCACAGGTAACGCATACGTTTTACAAAGTAAACACATTTAGGCAGCATCCAAATTACTCTGCTGCAAAATGAAATTATACACAATTCTATGGTACTGGCTGCAGCATCTCCCAAGGACTTGTGTATAGTTTCAAGCAATAGCCCAATACTTTAGACACCACCTTACTTAAGTAGGTCACCAGCCAAAATGTCATGAACACTGTGTGCATTTCTTATGACTGGTTGCCAGCAAATGAATTGTCTGAGCAGTGTCTTTGGCTTAGCACCTCTGCTAGATCGGGGCCCAGCCGTGTTCCTTTTATGTAGATACACGGTAAGTCAATCCACATTCAGTTTTTAAATTGTGGTTGTCCTTCAAATTAGCCATTTGCACGAGCAACTTAGAATGGGAGCATCGTGTTCTTCCCTTTGAGTGGATCAAGGCAAGACCACAGCTTCGAGGAACACCACCAGTTCCCACTCACTTTATGTTTGAGTGATTTGTCCGTTGTGGCAAAGACGACGGCGGCCTCTGATTCATAGCCGTTGGTGATCCAGGCTTTCCTGCCATTCAGCACCCACTGGTCCCCAGCTAGTCTGGCCACGGTAGAGGCTGCGCCAGCATCACTGCCATTTCCTGAGCAGGATTTTAGAAAGAAAATCAAGATCAGTTACAGAAATGAAAATACATTGAGTCTTTAACAGCATGTGTTATCAAAAGCAGACACTCTCAACATATGAACATTCCTGAAGCCATCTCTGCACCCCGGGGAGCATATAATCCTAACGTGAGCATTGCTTGCACAAACGGTTAAATGCAATAATCCTCTCTGCTCTCAGAAGTAACCATTTACTCCTAAGTGGAGAGTGGCACGTAGGGTAAAGTGACTAGTCCAAGGTCACAACATGCGACTCGCTGCTGGATTCGGACCCCTAACACGTAGATCGGGAATTAAAAACCCTAACCACCAAGCCACATGCCCCATAACAAAGCTGCGAGCTTCTGCGGCACAATGTGAATGTTTCTATTACAAAATACAGAAATATACACATACAATTAGGCACAAAGCCCACAGGCTTATTCAGCTGTTTTGTTGAGTGGAGAATACACAAAAACTTTGATGTTCCTTGCCTGGCTCACTGAGTCCAAAGCAACCGACTCTGTCCCCATCCAGGAATGGCTTGGCATACTTCTCTATCTGCTCCTCTGTCCCAAATGCCATGAGGGGTCCCAGGTATAACGTCTGGTGGAAAGAAAGAAATGAGTAAAGAAAAGGAAAAAAGACGGTGATGAATGCCAGCTTTCCAGATCACTCCGTATCTGGGTTACACAGTGAATGATTTAAAATTGTATACTACATCACCGCAGATGACACTGCCTGCAACAATGTCAACGCACTATGTTCATCATGGCTGCATTTGTGAAGACTGTTACATACACTTACATGTACACTTCACGACTGTGAAGGCTATAAGTAGGAGCTCTACATGGAGAGTAAAGGGGAATAACATGTATGACTTGCACATGGGAATGACGAAGAAGACATGCAACTGATTTTGTGCCAAATGTACGCCACCTGCTGTGTTTTCAACTTGAGTGGAACAATAGGCATACCAGAAAAAGATAGAAGTGTCCCTGTGAACAGCAAAGCCTTGGTATTTTATCACTGATGGATCTGCATACTCCATTGGCAGATCTGTTACAGCTTAAAGGTCCATTCACACTTCAGATGATTGCAAACGAGAAGTTCATATGCCGACAGGCAATGTTTGCAGCAAATTTTCCTTGAGTTGAAATGTGTTCAACTCTTGCAAATTCACATCACAGATATTTGATCTGATGTTTCAATATCACTTTTACTCAAAAGTATGAACCTGCATTGACCCAGGCACCAGACTCCCAATCCAGAAGATCGCCTCTTACATTATTGACAGTCATGACTACGCCCACTGAGGCACACCCCCTGCTAATCTCTTCCATGGCAATGGCATAAGCCAGGTAGTCCAGCCCAGCACCGCCATACATCTCGGGGACAGCAACCGCCAACAGACCCAACTCACCAAGCTTTTTGACCTGAAACGAAATGTCAAAACACAAAAGTTATGGAGAAAATTGGGTTGCAGTCTGCTTCAGATATATCTTCTTTCATGCATATCTTCTTTTTTATTCGTCATCCACTTTTTACTCGTGTTAAGGAGGACAATACTTTGATCTTGGTTCTCAAATGATGTGTTTTGGGTGCCTAAAAGAGATCAACAAATGAGGTATTTGATGGTGAAATTCTGGAACTGCACTTGTACACATGTATTTGCAGACTTACAAGATGGAGGCTAGACACCTGTACATGTACATGTATGTACATTTGAATCTGTGTGCCTGCTCATGCACTGTTTATATGTTCCTTCTACTCAAGCCACCAACTTGCACTGCATCTTAAAGACCGTGGGCAATTCTGCTGTGAAAAGGATGTTTTATGGCAGGCCAATAACACGCTATGCAAATTTGTGAGGTACATGTACATTCCAGATTAATATGTCAAGTCAAGCGGGTATCTTACTTAATGTTGATATTCAGTTAATCCCAGGCCCAGAGAATCACCCGTGTACTGTCTGCTCTATGCCAGAGAGGAGAAATCAACGTCTCCAATGCAAAAGCAGTAAACTTTGGTGTCACGCTAGTTGTGAGTCTATAATGAATAGACTTAACTCGCAACTGTGGACACGTTCTTTGTGTCTTCTTACTGAGCTGCCTTGCTTATCAAACTCATTGTTTGAACTGAATAATGGCAATAACAGTTGGACTAGGGGTAGCTGTGCTGAGGATCATGAGGTACACTACCATCGTGAGTCTCCTGAAGATCGTCAGAGTACACTGTTCAAAATGTCGAGTTATTCCCCCGTTCTTCTCAGAACCAAACATACTCAAGAAAGAGATTAATCCATGGTGTAACCGCAATTGTTTTACTCATATAGTTCTTTCAGCATGAAAACCTTCAAGTCTTACACTGCCATCACTCGAATCTCAACCTTCATCTATTGTGTGTCAGTGAATGCCAGGAGCATTAATAATAGGTTTACACAAGTGGAAGTTCTTTAATAGCAACCACTGATATTACAGTTTACAGTTTACTGTAATAAATGGCGATTGAGAGGAATTCATGGAACTGCATCAGCGAATATATCAAACAGCTCAAGCTTGCAGTGCATACAAACATACAAAGAAATAAACCATGCATTCCACTCACCTGTTCTCTTGGATATCTGTGTTCCTTATCCAACTCCCCAGCAATGTTCACTAGCTCTTTGTCGGCAAAATCTCGACAGGTTTGTCTTAGCATAGCATGGGTTTCTGGCAGTTCAGCCAGACCTGACATACATCGTGCACGCTTGGAAATGACAGGAACTAGACCTACATGTAAATGAAATAGGCTAATGAAGTTAAAATCTTTAGTAACTTATCATACAAATTGTATTTAGGCTAAAAAAATAGTCCCAAGCCCTGGACATGCTGGACAATGCTGGATTGCTTCTAGCTCTACTGAGTGGAGCATTAGAGGTATTGCCCATAGAGGTATTGCGGACGCAAAATCTCGGTCCGTGCATTTGAATGGAGCAGGCGGTGAAAAGTTTAAAAGTGTCGTGCGTGTGTCCAGCGAAAATGGTCGGATTTTGACACACTGTGAAGTCAGAAATACATGTACCACTGAAGCCCCAAAAGTTTGCCTTCAGCATTTAAGAAAGACATTAGGTGGTGAAAAAGGTATTTTTGGTGAGTCTTTGGAATTTTTGAGAACCATTCTCACCTTAGGCCTACTTTATGTACAGGCATGGAGCGTTAGAATGACGATCCCGTCCAAAATCGAAAAAGAGGAATACTATCGCTCCACTCAGTAGAGCTAGATTGCTTCCTACTCTTGACAAAGGCCGGATTAATCAGTAGCCAAAACAAGCACTTAATCTAGACCTGCTTTTGATTTATGACTATTATTGTGGGGTTCATTACCTTTGGCACCTCGTTCCTATTTTAAGGGAACAAATTCTCCTTTTTTCATTTCAGAAAGAAAAGAGAATGGGGCTTTTGGTTTTTGAGAGAAATGTTTGGGTAAAACGGCAGCGTACATGACCACCCTGAAGGTAGCTGTGAACGACAAATAAACGAATGTAGTCTGGTGCCTTGACCTGGATGAGATATGTTTTGATGAATAAAAAAGCTTGAGTCGGGTAACCGGACGAAAAACAAAATGGCGTGATTCAACTGAGGGGTTGTCTTTTGCCAAACTTGGGTTAGAAATTTGAAGTTTTCTTGCTTAGGCCTAAATATTATCAACACTTATCTAAACTACGCCTAACACGATTGAGTAATGGTTCCTTAAGCTTTAAAGTTTCAGGTCAAAATTTTAGTTAGTTTAAGAAAGTGGACTTTGTTTCCTTATTATAGGAACAGGGTGCTATTGGTAATGAACCCCATTATTGTTACAATCACTGCAATGATAATGTTACAGCATGCTCATAATTATGGTAGGCCTGCGCCTATGTAACATGTGTAACGTTTAAACCCCATCAAAATTTGCCGTGCTACTGTACATGATGTAGCCTAGGCCTATCCACGCAAACATTACAAAATTAAATTCTCCAGTTTTACACTCAAATTCCACAACCCAATTTATTTCTAATCCCTCCTATTATGGAGCAACATATTTGGAAATCATATTTCATGTTATACCTGTCTCTGCCCGCTTTGTCAGCGGTAATCTGCAGTAAGCAGACGCCAGTCGGCCTCCAAGATATCGCAATGCGGCCATTTTGGGTTATGTCATTTATGTTAACCTCTTTCTCGAGCGTCCTGTTGAAAATGGGAACGATCCGAATGTGAAATTAGCCATCCGCGTGTCCAAATTATTTGGCTATGGCTCGAAATAACACATGCTCCTAAAGAAGCCGCTGACTAGCGGCTTCAATAATTTGACGTCTGTTTTGTGACGTCATAGGACGGACACGACTTTCCAGACCAGAGTGCATAGCTCGGTGGTCGAGTGGTTAAGCCTAGTAAACAGGTCATGGGTTCACGTCCTACCCGAGTATGCTTGTAGGTTTTTTTACAAGCCTTCGGAGGCAAACACTGAGTCGACTAATAGTCATGAAAAAATAATTTTAACTTTTCATTGAGCCCAATTATGGTTTTCAGCCTGACAAGCTAGACAACGATCATGAAAAGTTTGCTTAACTTTCCAGTGAGGCACATCAACAGTTGATAAAAACTGCCTAACTTTTCACTATAAAGCCAGTCAACTGACAGTCATGAAACCTTTGTTTTACTTTCCACTAATGCGCCAATTTGATACAATGGTCCAATGGAAAATGAAACAAATGTTTCACGACCGGAAGACCGGGCAAGTTAAAGAGTGCAACATATTTAGTGGCTGAATGGTTTCAATTTACTTGCATAATATTGTACAATGACTGGAAGAGAAATTCCACAGATTAAGACCAATTATATTTGAACTGATATTACCTAATGCAAAGGTTACATTAGCTTAACTGATTTTGGAATCAAGAATTTCAATAAATTATGTTCTTCTAAAGAGATTTGCCAGTGCTTCGTTTTCCATAAAGAAGGAATTTCGAATTATTAACAGAAATAAGATTTATATTTTTTGCTTTTATAAGTTCCAAGGTTTTATAAAATAAGATGTGAAGTGTTGATATAGTAATGTGTTGAAAAATAAACCAGCCGACGCTAGCCAGGTGGACAGGCTACATGCAATTTACAATGTTTACATGGGTACCAGAGTTACGTTGTGTATTTGAAATAAGCGCAAGGTGGTGTGCATAGAACAGATGGGAACTAGCAAAGAGCAGGTGAGAAACCAAAACCTGGAAAGGGTAAAAGGTCATCCCCTCTTCCTTTTTTTTTTTAAAGAGGAATGCGTCCCGCCATAAGATTTTAAGCCGGTCCTTTTAGGCAAATAGTCAGGCAAAAATCCCACTGAAATGAAAATACTCTGCAAATGTTTATTTCAAAAAACTTTGCCAAACAAAAATACAAATAATGCATTCAAACTTGTCGCATACCCATTTATGCCAATAATCACTTATTTAAACTCAAACTGTCGTAGTAATACTTTATTTTTTGAAAAATAACTGGAAAATACTAAGTGAAGGGGATATCCATTCAACATTAGTCATATTTACAAAACAGGTAATTGATGAAACAATCAAAATGAGTGGATTTAAAAATAAGGAAAACCTGAAAAGTTTAATACATCATGTTTCAAAACAACAAAATGCAGCAACAGGCTCGGCCAATGAAATGAAGCATTTGAAATCAAATAAATAAACAGATTTACAAGGAGAAAAAAAATTCTAGAAGCTTCAAACACAAGTTTCTGATTAAAGAAGATATAATGCCTAGCAGCTTAAAAGTTGTTGCCTGCAATCTAGAAGCACTGGGCTAATTTCATGGACTTGCTGAGCCCACAGATCCGCTTAGCACGTGACAAGGGGATTAGCAAAATGAAGTCCTCAACCAAACTGGCCTTTTGGTGTACAGCACTCAACTGGTTTCCAGTTCATTTTTGCTCAGCCAATCAATTTACCCTCCACAACTTTCCAAACCCAGTGCCTATGTAAAAACAGGGCACTGTTGCAGACAATCCTGTTAGAAAATATGACCAACATTTGTTGTTTTACAGAAATTGGATGTTCCAAAGTAAGCCATATTTCCAGGAAGTCACAAGTTAATGTCGACAGTTTCATGTGCCACGTAAGGAACATGACAAGATTCACTTAAAACACAATAGCAAACAATGAAGCACCTGACAGGTTTCCTACCAAAAATAATCACTTGCTCATTCTAGTGTAAAATCACCAAACATAAAAGCCATTATTCCAGTCTCAAAAATTTCTATGTTCATTCAATTTTTAAACCTCCCTGAATTCCAAAATGAATTATATCACAACACGACGAACATTGTGATGGCCAAGACCTTTAATAACCACATGTGTGAAACAGACAGCACAGTTTCCGAAGGACAGCATAATTTTGAACAGTTTATAATTAATTTGATGGTCAATAACAAAACATAAGTTGTGAACTTTATAGTCTGCTTCTCATCTATGGCAACTGTACACATACTCTCCACCTGTACAAATAAATGTCATTCTTAAATTATTTTTATATAGCTCCATCATTTCTTTAACATGTCCCAAACAAAGTGAATCGGAACCAATTCTTATTTACAAGAAGGAAAATCAACTCAGATGCTTACATACAACAGTACTGTCCACTTCGAAGGATCTAATTTTTTTTTCTTGCAAAGATCTGCATTCCATTACACACCAGAAGGAGGTGCCATATCTTCAACACCATATTTGAACTTGCAGGGGAAAACAATAGCAATATGGCCGTTTCACAATAGTTCACCACCAAGAGTTTGCAATGCGTTGGCCAATCACAATGCACGAAATTTTTCGACCAGTGCGCGTTTGGAAAGGGTCGACAAATTGTGTCCGTTATGATTGGCCAACGCATTGCAAACTCTTGGTGGCGCATTATTGTGAATCGCCCCTTTTGATCCATGATATTTACTATACATATCTGAGGAGGAAAAATAATTGAGTAGCACTTATTACAAGACACACAGCGGGGCAGACAGAATTACTATGCATTTTTGTTTTCTTTTTAAGTCTTGGGATGGGAAACATTTCTGAAAGTGATCAATAGATGAAATAACTTTCATATAATTTTACACACTTGGCTACCAACCTCCTCCCCCCATCTCCTTACACTCCCCGCCTCCCAAACAGGTTGGTAACACAAACTGGGTAAAGAGCACCGATCACCAAAAGAGTCCATTTCCTATGTGTGACTCATGTTCAACAACAGAAGTTCAAGAGTTCACAAACTGGAAGCACAACTGAGCTTGTTTCTTAACCCTACTCCAATTCTCCACGTAAGAAATCTACTTTATGGTCAACAGCTGCATCACCAACACAAAAAAGGACGCTGCTATTTTCCTACTGCATCCAAATCACTGCATTAGATCATTTTGAGGCTTTCTACAATTTGCAAATTTTTAAATATCCACTACAGATAAATATTACCTCACAAAGGCATTCCACTGAGGTCACTGTAAACATCCAAGCCAGCATAAAAGCATATAAAAGGCCTACACTTTGACAAGTTTGTGCATTTTGTTCATTTCCATTTATGAAGTGGTGGAAACCAGGCAAGGCAAAGTACGTATTTCTGCAACATGTTCAAGACTGAACACTAGAAACTGCAATGGCTAGTACACCAGGTTTAGCTGGTTCCAAAGTTCCCAGTCACCGTAGGCAAACCACATGCTTTCTCACTGGTAAAGGTTTACACTATGCATGCCGAATGTGTACCGATGAAAACACTGCATGTACAGGCCTGACTATTCAGTCTTGCAATCAAACAGTGCTTGTTTGAGTGGCATTCTATTTGGCCCCAAGCTTTGTTACCAAAAATGTGTGGTATGATGGCAAACGGGAGCCATGAAATTTACATTTTTTTCTGTAAGTTTACAGAAGTTTGGACAAATCTTGAAAGAGTAAAGAAGGCCCAATCCTGGGAGATGCTGAAAATTTACAAATCTACCAGAAATTGTTTTCCACGTGGAATTCAGCAAGCTCCTGGTACCTCAATACGCAGTTGAGCAAAGTCCCAACTTTTCGAGCAGTTGCTCAGTACTTGACGAGTGGTGAGGGTATTTCACGGGGGTGGACTTAGTACGTCTGCTCATCATCACAGTTCTCTGTCCAATGTCCAAAGACTGAAAGGGAATGGAACAACCAAGAATCAGGCAAGATTAACAATAAAATAGTTCTGTTGGATCAGAGTTTAAAAACATCTCAAGTCATGTGAGAGTTGCAAACTGCAATATCAGCTGTGACAGAACTGTAAGGAAAGGCATCAATGTCACCATTCATCCTCTTGCAACTGGATTTATGACTGATTTAATAAGTTCTGTGACACTAAATTCAATAACCGCTACACTGAAGGGATGACCAGTTCAACAGTCTGGTCATAGAGGAGAACTCCTTGCTTTTTTATGTTAATGTGCAGGATGTAATATTTTTTCATCAATCCACATGATCGGTTTCAAGAACACTTTGTATTAGTCACAATACCAATGATGGACTTGTGCTGAATCAAGTGCTGTACAAATAGATTGCTCGTGCCTAGTTTGTGATTATGCCTACAATAAAAAGATGGTCACGCACATGACCTTGCAAAAATGACATTTGAAGTACTTAAATCTTACCTTCACATATATCGCAGTACGCCCTGTCTTCGTGTCTAGCACCGTGAAACTGGGACGGCGGAGGACTGTCCGAACTGGACTGCAGGGGACAGTCTTCTGTGTCATGGAGGTCAAATACGTCGCAGATGTCGCAGAACAGGCGGGGTGGGGGCATTCGGTTGGACAATTCCAGGCTGCAAAGTGGGCAAAGAGGGGTCAAAAATCAGCATATGACGATGCAGGGTGAGAAGGGTCAGACGGGGAGAATGGTAAATGTCAAAGGCAAAGAAATGGATAATGGAAGGTGGCGAGAGTGTGGAATTAATCGGTCCATGACAGATTAAAGAATAACATGAGAGAGGAACTGTCAGAGGGAACAGTCTGGGGCACCAAACAAAAGCCGGTGAGGTCCTGCTTGGCAGACAGGAAAAAGTTTGGTGAAATCTAACACACGAGGCAGGCTGGGTCCAAAGAGGTACGAAAAAGAAAGGACATTCGAGGTCAAGGATGGGAAAAAATGGGAACAATTAGCTTCGAATGGTAGAAGTGGGCTGAGTTTAACGCAGTAGACAGGCTAAGGGCTGGACTGTGTACAGAGGGCAAGAGAAAGGCAGGTCTGCAAGTGTACAAAATGGACCATCTGGTCCAGAGTTGCACAAGAGGAAAGTCGAGGGATGAAGGGCAAGGGGAAGGCTCCGTCCAACTCACTCCATGTCATCCAGTGACAGGTCATTGTGGGCACCATTTATCCCTCCTTCCTCCATTATCTCTAGCCGCGCCCGCAGCTCATCATTCTTGCGTTGAAGGTCGACGATGACTGAATTGAGGAAGGTCACCTTTGGAAGAAAGACAAATGGCAAAGGTGAACTGTAGAGTTTGACACATGGATAATATTTAGTTAGTTTCCATTCAACCACTTTGCACCGGGGGCATTTATGAATGTTGACGATGCTGAGACGGGATAATTTTCTTTTTTTTCTGTTTTCAAAATTCTTTAAACAATTCAGATCTTCATTAACCATTAACTGGACACTTACACCCACACGAAGGACTGTGTGGTTTCTTCTCTAATCTGACAGACAACATCTATTGACGCTGGAGTATTTCAGGCCTGCTGCCTTGTAAAAAGAGCCCAGATTATGCGGTGTTACGTAATTTTCTTTTGTTCACGAACCTGGCACAGTGCGCAGCTGACCTCTTTTCAATAAAGGCCAGATTAGCGTGCAGCAGTACTGTGTGGCTCAGCGCTGCAGTGGTGGAGTGCTTTTGTCCCCAGTGGTAATCCACTCGCGCTAAATGCCCCAAACTGTGGTATACTGTTTCAAAACAAGGCTGGATTATCTCAACTATTGAAAGCGAAAAAATGTTGGTAATTCCCAGCAGCCTGGTCTTTTGTTAGGAATACAGTCTTTTGTTACAAGGCCCAGTTCCCTTTGTCTGATTTTGAAGACTCTGGCCACGCGTATAAAGGATATGTGTCCGGTACCGGCAAACCCGGCGGCAAGTGGTTAAAACGGTTTTATATACTCAGTCACAGTTCGATGTTGATAACTAGCAGTGCCAAAACCTGTCAATGGATCAAAGAATTAAGTTCTGGGTTTGTAAAAATTACTGGTTTTCATACCTGGCCTTCCGCCATCTCCCTTTCCTCCTGCAACTTAGCGAGAACAGGATCTCCTGAAATAGAAAAACAGTGGATTTCCATTATAGCAAACAAAAACTACTACACAATCTCTTTAAATCCACAATAACCCCTCCTTACCACGTAACCAGTCTAGCCCAAACCCTCGCTCCCCCAGACTCTAAATCAGCATTTTCGCTGACTACTAATTACATCCCTACTTGTATGCTAAGTAGCTTTCACTCTGCTACATCAATCTTATGAGAGACTTTTGAGACCTCACACACCCATTTTACCCCTGACTATCCCATCTTTACCCAAACACCAATTTCACAGAGAAACTAATCTTAGAATTTTGTTAAGTGCACAAAATATTTGATTAGCAGAACCAGGCCAACAAGCAAATCGTCGTGGCATCTATAATGTCTGTGACTGGTGCACTGCTAATTTCTGCTTCAGCACATGACTTTGCCACGCAAGTTTTCCCACTGAACGGCCCTGGGTCATTCCATGCGGTTGGGTGGCAATTTGTGACGGTGTCCTTGTTACATCGGTAACTTTTACCACCTCTCATGACCTTTAGAGTCTGTAAAAATAACATACACCTCTATATTCAGCCTTGCAAGATGCACAACAACGTCAATTTGGAATCCACAAGCAGGGAAATAGCTGCTCATTGTTACCGAACCCATGTAACAATGGACACTGTCACAAATTGTGTCTCAACCTCATGGAATGACCCCTCTGTGAAATTGGGTCCTGGGACCCTCCATTGCCCCCCTTCACTCACCGTCCACATCTACCTCCCTGCTGCTGGGCTGAGATGCTTGGCCGGCCTGCAGCTGTACCTGCTGCAGTGCGGCTTGTAGGTCACTGACCTGCTCCTCTAGCCTGGTCTTCTCGTCTTCTAGCCTTTCCACTGAGGTTTTATAGCTGCCCAGTAAGGCCACTTCTCCCTTCAGGCTGGCAATCTTGAGAGTGAGAAAACTTCCACATGAGTGATTTGAGGCTTTTCTGTTGTGAACGATCAACATTCAGTATCCAGTATCAAGCAATAAATACAGAGACACGGCAAATCTGTCAAAGAGCCTGAAGCCTTTCTCCATGTTTGGACAAGAAAACCAGCAAACTTTAGATGTCAAACTATGGTGCCTTTCAGTACTTTAATTTAAACCATTAAGAAGTTTTAGTGGAGGCTTCATGAAAGTAAAACAGTTTCAGAGAAAGTAAGGCGAGGGTGATTTCCGAGCTAGCACAAATTTGCTTGTTTGCAACACGCCAGAGAATAAACGAAACAAAGGACAAGCATCAAAGAAAGGAAGAACTTGGATCACATGTCAACATGTCCAACACAAATTGTTGTTGGAAAGAATTCAAAGAAGAAGCAATAAACAATAAACAAAACAGTCATCAGTGAGTTGTTATTAAAGGTTCCCTTGCTAGATCAGAAGAAAAATGACCAAGAACATATGTGGCCTTTCTTACCTCCAGGTTCTGTCTCTCAACCTCCTGTTCTTTCTCAGACACTAACGAGTTGGTGACATCCAACGTGTTCTGGACAGAGTCCCTTTCAGCTTCGTATCCCATGGTCTCTGTCTCAAACCTGAATAACCATAGACAAGTAAGTATTACCGAGGCGACGTGAACAAAACTGTTTAATCATGGAGCTATTATACACAAGGAGTCAGCAGATACAGAGATCAAAAGGGTCAATGATGGCCATCGCAAGCACTCCACGTGCTGCAAGGACAAAACAAATTCCGCGCCGCTTGCGGGCTATAAGGAATGCTCGTAGTTGAATTTGCAGGAGATCGTGGGTACTGTGCACGAGTGTCCGTTACACTTCCGCACGTTCAACATGGCCACCTTGAGACAGAAACCGTCGTCATGGGAGACTTAAATTTCGATAATTTTAGTGATTGTTCTGATATTCCAATGATAATGAAAGTCTGGTTATGTCTTTACATCCCCAAAACCTCTCTCTTAACAATAAACAGAATAACTAATACAAATTCTCCAAAAATACCCACAAGAAAACCTAAAAAATGTGGCTGGTCCAGAGGAAAATTTAAAAACACACAAAAAACATGGGAATATTCGTTATCCTTTCTGTCGTTGTCCACAACTGTCTCGGCATGAAACCTCACCACGTTGTCAAATGCATTCCTTCAGCATCTTTCCACTGTCTTTTAACAGTAGGAACCACTAGGATTGTTACTTATGATATAAATATCACAGTTCATATCTTGGGTATTTGTTCTCTAACGCCGGAATCGCAAAATGTCATAACTGACTTTATAAACGTCCGGCTTTTCGCCAAATAACCACCGCCGATTCGTAATTTTCAAGCGCATCTGCGGGGATTACTCGCTGACATCTGAGGACTACAGAAGAGAACTACGCATCTTCTTCATACATCATTTCCGTCATTTATTTACTCCAGTATGCCGCAGGGAAACACGGTGGGTATGTGGGTTACCAGTTACCTGGCGGTGGCGATCAATGTGTCCAAAGAATGTGTAGGGTCTTCAACACGGGGGCAGGTAACCGCACTTTGCCTATGGAGCCCACCAGAGTAGTTAATAGGATTACAGTCTGTTGGGACTTCGTTCTAATTCCTTGTGCTTAACAGCTCCATTGTTTAATAAATGGAAAAACTGTGAACAAAACTTGATCAGATTCAAGACCCAACCAAAAGGTCACCACTAAAATCCAACTAACAGAAAATGTATGCAAAGCAATGACAAACAGACCCTTATCCAGGAACAACACGCCAGGTATTGTTTACAACCACAGTGGTCCTTTCAAGTGAGGCAAGCAAAGTGACATGGTGATGTACGTGCAAAATGTGGTGACAAGAGCGCATATTGATCTTCTATTTTGAACACAGACTCTGCCGCTGATATTCTGATCTTAAGACCAGAATTCCTATCTTAACATATCTTAAAGTATTTAAAAAAAGTTGAAGTCTGATTAAATTCTCACTTGTCTTTCAGCTCCTGGAATTCTTTAAGGACCTGTGTATGCTCAGCAGCCAACTGTCAAAGAACAGAATAAAACACATTGCCGAGTGGGTCAGAGAATGTGATATGCAATAAATGTACAATGCAGGAATACTATGTAATCCTTTTTGAGAAAATTTTACAGGCTAACATCATTTCATCTCCGGCTGAGGCTAATTACAGCAGTGTGTTACTAGCCTAAAACACATAGCCACAGCAATACACACACAAGTAAGACAAAGGCTACTACCCCGGACGACAGCCAAGTTATGGTCCACAAAGCCTGCAAATAAGGGCTGAGAAGCCTAATATACAGTGTTAAGTACTGAAACTTAGGCCAACATTTTACATTTAAAACAATGCAATCAGGCTTTTGCCTGTAAACTAGCATACCTGATTACCAAACAAAACTTTTCTGTCTAGCTCAGTAAAGAACTAATTGACAGCACTGCTTCATAAAAGAGAAGTCAACGGCTTAACCCACACTACAGACACTGTATAAATTACATGCACTGTGATGATTGTATGGGCCTCGAGCTGGACCAAGAGAGGGCACTTTTTTCCGAGCAACGGAGGCTCCTATGGTTGGAAATAAACTTTGCTGGTTCATGAACGACTAGGAAATGCACGCGTCACAGTTGCATCGCTACCTACAAAATGAACACTCCCAACCAATGTGGCTCATCGCTACGGTGGTGAAGAGCTTTTGTCCATGGTGGTAATCCGCTCGCTCTAAATGCCTCAAACTGTGGTATACTGTCTCAAAACAAGGCTGGATTATCTCCACTTTTGAGAGCAAAAATGTCGGTAATGTCTAGCAGCTCAGTCTTTTGTGCTGAGCACCGTCTTTTGTTATAAGGCCCAATTCTTTTGTCCCAGTTCCGGGCTCCCCAGCTCTGCATGTAAAGCCTACATGTATGTACCCGAAAACGGGTCGCCCAGCAGGTAGTGGCTAATATATCCAATCATGGAAATGTAGTCAAAAATGTTCAACCCAGGTACCAAGGTTACACACAAAATAAACATAAGTTGCCATGATTGATTGGTTTAAGTTTGGTTTTCCTTCAGGTTAATGCATTTTCTATGGGTGGTCCTAAATTTTTGCGAATGACTGCGCAAGTACATATCAAAACTATACAAAAGCCACAAGCAGTCTAGGAATAAACACAAATCTACAGCAGCTGTAAATTCTATATCCGTGTCAGGTACCTACCTGCTGTTTGGCTTGCCTTTCTTCCTGTACTGTTTCTACTTCCTTCTTTAGTCTGGTGGCCTCGGCTTGCAACTGTTCTGCTTGGTGTTGCCTGGCATCGGCCTCACATCTGGCTTCAGCTCTGAAAAGGCAACGATATCAAATGATGAGGTAAAAATCTGTAAACAGGTTGGGCAGCTGTAGTGCCTCTGATTTGGTTAAGTGCTATACAAGGCGGAATGTTGTTGAAACAGTTGCTAACAACTGGTGCCCAGCATGCATCACTGGTATCAATACATGTGCTACCCTATGAAGATACTTTTAAGCAAAAATGCATTTTTAACATTCACAGATTTTCCCAAGTCAAACAAGTTGTTAGAACCCTGCAATACATGAACTTCAAATGAGTAGACTTTCTGGCAAGAATCATCAATTAATGACCTCTTTTGCACAGGTGGTGAAAACTGTGGTAAAAAATGTAAGTTTTACTGATATGCGAGGGCATCCATCAGGATCATATTCTTTCCCACATTTGCTACCGGTAGCTAGCAGCTGATTTCACAAAAAGTGGCGTAACTTTGAACCATGTGTAAGCCTTGCACAACAACGTTATGCCGTAGCTGCGCAATATACTTACGTTTGATTTCATGAAAAAATGCCTAGCTACGTTTTTAATAATATCAAATTTCTTGGACAAGAACGAAAATGGCTTTTATGATGAATATTCCTTTCCAATATAACAACAGTCATCAAACAGTCGTTGAAGCACCTTCGCCTGCCATTTTGAAAAAGTTTGTCTTTTCTTCATCAAAATCTGAAGAAAAAAAAATCTATAGTTTTTCTCACAGCCAAAAAAGTTTTTCATTAGCTTCTACAACGAAGTTGTACATTTCTCGTGTTGGCCTTGTTAAGTTCAACAATGACTGATGAGCCTGAAACAACATGCTAGCCATTTCGTTCATGTTCCCTTCATTTGACACAACTTACGCCACCTAAAATGACTGCGTAAATTATGCCATAATTTGATGCATAAATTCACAGATTTAGGCAGTGCATAAGTTTTGTGAAATCAGTCTTAATTTATTGCACAGCTTATGCAATACACGTGGCATAAGGGGACTTACGCCATTGTGTAGAGTTTCGTGACATCGGCGGCAGAACATTTGGAAACAGACATTCGTATATTTAGTCAGCAAATAGTTGCTCACATGTCCTTTGAGCAGATGAGCACTTAAACATGTATCATTCAAAGCAGTCTATTCACTCATGCTACATGTGACAGCACATAAATACAGATGATCTACTTAAAAAGTAAATTGCATCCACAGCTTCTACAATAACATGCCGCAGAAATTTTGAGACAAGGTTTGGGTTTTAATTTCACGGGTCTGGGAAAAAGTTAATTCACACACCAGCTTGGTTGGGATTAGAAACTCTGTCCTTTGAACACAAAAGGAAGTATATTGAAAACAGGAACGTTAATCAAACTACCTCAGTTGCTCAACTTGAGGAGATGAACTCCAAAACTTACAGCTGAGCCTGCAGGGAACCCAAGGTGCTCTGGCCTTCCTCCGTTGCCTGCGTCAGAGACTCCAGCTGCTGCTTGTAAGTGTCCACCTGCCGCCTTAGCCCTTCTACCTCCCCCTGCAGCCCCGCTCGTTGCCGCTCCACCTCCTGGACCTGGCTGTCGGCTGACGCCTTGGCCTGCAGGACTGCCTCCTTCTCCTGGGCCAGGGCCGAGTTCTTCTCTTCTGCTGTTACCTTCTCCTTGAGTACTGTTTCCTTCTCCTGGACAGCAGCTTCTTTCTCCCTCCTGACAGTCTCCTGTTCTTGTCTGAGGACCTCCTGGGCTTGCCGGAGGGCCTCTCTGTCCTTAAGGAGCGCTTCCTTATCCTGGACTGCAACTTGTTTCTCCTGAGCCAGGGTGTCCTTTTCTCTGGTCAGTGTCTCCAGTGATGTCCGCAGATCCTCTAGCTCTTTGCCAGCCTGTTAAGTAATCGGAAATGATTCATCTGACAAACTGTAATCCCCAATCCATCAGAATACTTACTGTGGATTCGACTCGCGGCATTTTCAAATAACTGAAGGCGTACATCATTCCTGTTTTTGACATCAAAACTTAGACTTGTTAATTTCTGGATATGGACAAGCTGAACAGAAAACAATGACACTCATTGTGAACATTTCATTTCAGCCAAAGCTGAAGCAAACTTTCATGTGAATGTTATTTGAACATTATTTGATGGAAGAACTGTAAAGAGGTAACTTTCAAACCTGTTGGTTCACGTCAGCGGTGTACTTCTGAGCTTCCACAAGCTGCTTCTGCAATGTCGTTTTGTCCGTTTCAAGCTGTGACTTCTGTGCAGAGAGCTCCTCCACACTTTGGTTTGCTGCCTCACTGCGGAGAGAAGATAGGAAGACAGCAAAATGACATACTGCGGTTGAAATAGATGTTGAGGGTTTCAAAACCCCAAAGTGTTGCAGCCTGAGGAGATGCATTAACTTGCAGTGTGCTATTGGCAATTCTATGTGACACTGCACAAGCGCAAGCTGGTGCATCAAGCAGTTGGTGGTGGAGGGGGGGCTGGAACAACAGACATTCTTACTCCTTTGCTGAGGGACCTACCAAGTTCTTGTGGGGACCTGAAACATTGTGTGAGCAAGCACTAGTTACCAAAATCTGGTAAAAATTTAATTAGCAAAAGAAAACTCTTCCACAATGTGGTGCTGGCCAAGAAAAGAATGACACAAACGGGGCCATGTTCAACAGCGCAATACCTATGCCATTCCAGCGTACTGGCTACAATTATGCAATTTTGCACAACTTAGCAGGCAGCCAGCCTCTTTCTAGACACTCACAGTTGCGCCCTCAGCTGCTGGCTGCCTTCCTTGGCTGCCGTAGACTCCTCCACCAGTCGCTGCAGCTGCTCCTGGTGCTGCTCCCCTTCCCTCTTGGCCATCTCGGCTACCTCCGAGGTCTTGCTCTCCAGCTTCATGGCCACCTCCTGGGCCTGGGCCAGGGCCTCGGCCCGCTCCCTCAGGGCTGTGTCCCGCTCCTGGGTCAGCCTCTCCAGGGTCGATTTAGACTCCTCTAGGGTTTGCTGGAGCTGGGCGGCGGGGACGAAGACATAAGAAAATGCACATTGCATTCTGAAGGGACAATAAATTCATCTGAGGACATCAACCTGTTTTTTTTCCAAACCATTGCGCTCACATGTGAAACAGTCCACTAAAATACTTCTGCTAACCTTCCATGCATGTATAGCTCCTAATGTGGTAATATGTTTACTGCTCTGCAATAGCACACTTCCTGCTAAAAACACCATCTAGAGGGAAGGCCACCTCTGAAATTTAGCTACAGAGGGAAAAACTCTTGAGGTCTAAATGATGGCCAAATGAAAGCAGTAATGGATTCTCCGGCACTCACTGAGGGCACGGAATACTGACGGATGAACCCAAAGTGTCATTTACAGAAAGTACTGTTTCTTGTGGAAAAGTATAGCACTGTGTGGGTTCCCAAACTGAACTGAGGTGATTTCACTTGAGGACCGCACACTCCAGTCAGGTTTGTGTTAGGGCAGGCAGCAGGTTCTCAACCAAACCATCCAATATTCCAGCATGCTCCCTTACCTCGGTTGCCGTCTGGCCCTCTTTCTCCACCTGCTCCTGTAGCTGCTTGTGCTTGCCCAGGGACTCATCATGCCTCAGGCTCAGCTCGGCTTTGGCCAGCGACAGCTGCTGCTTCTCGGCCAGGCTCTGGTCCAGCTCCTCTTTCAGCCGGTCCCTCTCCTTGGTCATCTGCTCCAGGCTGGACTCCACCTGTGTTTTGTCCGTCTGTCAAAGAAGACAAATCATTCCATTTTGTTACTCGTCCAAACAAAATGATTTGGAAGTTGTCAGAGCACAACGTAAATCAACAGAAAACCTCAATAGTTTTCAGTAATTTTTTCAACAGGATGCCAGATTCAGAGATGCATCAAAACAAAGAACTCACTTTACTCTTTTTTTAATTAAAAAATTTAAAAAACTGAGGCCTTAAGATTATTTTGTGGGGTCCAGTCACATTTTGTTGACCTAGAGGTTTCACATAATCTGGGAGTTTGCTGGTAAGACGGCAAGTTCAACTGTGTGCAAACTAGCAAGTAATCATTTATCCAATTTTTCATGGAATTTCACAATGTTTTTATTCACACCAGTAAGAAGTTAACCATAGGAAATCAGCTCAATCAACACAGGGTGCGTCAGGGAGTTAGCTTGTATTATGCCCACCCAGGACTTCACTGGACAGAAGAGAGAAAGCCCACCGTACCGTTAACTTAGTCAGCTTGTGTTCGGCCTCCTGCAGCGAGCTCCTCAGTCCGCCCGCCTTCTCTGCCAGCTTCTCAAACTCCACCTTCTGTTTCTCGGCTCCTTCCCTGACCTCGGCCAGCGTGGTCTTGTGGCCGGCCGAAAGTGCCTCCACCTCCGTGCTGTGAGCCTCCTGGGCCTGGGCAAGCTTGGCCTGGGCGGTGTCTACGCTTGCTTGCTGGGTTGTTGTGATAGGGCAAAAAAATCCATGAGGAGGGGGGAGAGAGTGAGACGGACAGCGATGGGGAGCTGAGGGACTAAAAATTATAAAAAAAAAAAATAACGGAGATCTGATGGAGCAGGCAGGGTTGACAAGACAGGGGCAAGGAGGGGGGGTAGTAGGGATGACTGCGGACGGGCAGACAACTGAGGATGTAGAGGGGTGAATGGGAGAAAGGGGGTTAAGATGGGGACTGAAAAAGGACAACAAAATGGACTTTTGGAAGCTTGGTAATAAGGGTCCACACGTGAATAGCATCCCACTTGGAATTCCATTTTATTCATATTTCCAGTCACGAGGATTGCAGGTAAAACATCTGCCAGAGATTGGAGATACAGGTACCGGTAGCTGCTATGTTCTCTTTTTCAAACTACTTCTTTGAATTAAGTTTTGGCGGTGAACTTAGGTTACAATGGTGTAGGCTACTGTGCTTGAATTGGAAAATTAATTGTGCATGTGAAAGAAAAAGAACAGTATTTTCTCAAAAACAAAAGAGAAAAAAAAGAAAGAAGCAAAAAACTGGCAAGACTTATCTTTCTAGACATTTTAACACTTGCACATGTAACGTTTGGTGAATTTTAACCTTTTATAATATCAAATTTTATACATGTAATTACATATTTGGTATAATTCACTGGTATCCTTGAGAACCAATGTCATATGCAGTAATTCCACAAAGATTACATGTATCGGAAGAGGAAATCTCACAAGACAATTTAAATTTTTGGAAGAAATATCTTTACATGGCATTTATTAATATTAGTCTGTATTGGCCATGCAGTTAACACTGAAAACCCTTTGCTGTACATTAGCTTCAATTGAGAAAAACTCTGGAATCTTTCGGACACTGGTTAGCTTTACCGTTATTTTAACTTTGGTCCAAAAACTTCAAACAAGAATTACAAATACTGAGGTTGATAATATTAGTGGCAGAAAACAGTGCACACTTACATTGAAATGCGGAATGGAATCATTTTAAATTGGTCGATTTTTTGCTACGTAGCCATATTGCACTTTTCAAGGAATTCGGGATGGGGACAAAATAACACACACACACACACAAAGAAAACAGGCAAACTGAACTAAGCGATGACATGCCAGGTTGATTTTATCAACGGGCATGAAAAGTAAAAATGCAAATGAATGCTGTACTGCAGTAAATAACTTCAAAAAAAAAAAAAAGGCAAACTAAGATAAACACAATGGGTTTTTTGGCAAGGGGGGCGCCGAGTGGGTTACTGCATCACCTAGGGAGAAGAAAGGAAGGGGGTCAAACCATCAGAAAAAGGGGTGCAAACTTTTGGCAAAAAATGTGAAGCTTCAGTTTAAGAGGTAGCCTTGACTTGCCAACCGCGAGTTAAAGAGCACCTCAAAGGAAAACATGTTTTCTCTGATTTTATTTGTTCAAATAAATATGGAAGCATCCAAATCGAATGCAGTGTCATTTTTCTTCAGAGCTCAACTATAACAAGCTTAAAAAGGTTTTTTTCTGAGCATGCCAAGATGCAAATTCTGAACGTAGATTGCGTCATTCGTCATACCGTCGCCCGGTATTTGCAGTGGATAAACCATGCCAAACAAAGGCTACATGCAAGGCTTGGCATGCTCAAGGGTTTATCCACTATGAATGCAGGGTGAATGTTCCCCTCGTTTTCTCTGTTTTCTCCGAACGATGCAATCTACACACAGAATTTACATCTTGGCATGAACAAAGAAAAAATCCTTTTGAGCTTGTTATAGTTGAGCTCTGAAGAAAAATGACACTGCATTCGATTTTGATGCTTCTATATTTATTTGAACAGATAAAATCAGAGAAAACATGTTCTCCGAGGTACTCTTTGACATAAACAGCATCTGGAAATTTCTTTCAATGTCAAGTGACAGTATATATTTACTGCACCTCAAGGCAAATTATACAAAAACATGAAAGATCCACATCAATTGATCAATGCCAAAATCAGCTGACACATCTGCTATGAGTTTTGAGTACATGATCACATGGGGCTTAGAATGTGCGGCACTGCAGTTGCAGGTACACACATGCAGAGTGGCACACTACAAGTACATGTATCGGTTCATGTAAATAAATTAGTCACGGTAATCCACATACTTTCACCATCTCATGCTCATTTAGGCCCATACTCAGATGTGTCTCTCTATCTCAAATGATTACAACGAGTGAAATAATTTTGTAACTTGGGATGCTTGGTGAAGATACAAGTATGGTTACCTTTCACCTTTGAAAAGATTCTAGAAGGACTGAAACACCACACTATGTATCATATGTATCTACTCAACACTTTGTGTTATAAATGATAAAAATCTTCATCTGAAAACAATGTCCAACAGTGCAGTGTGTAGCAAAGACCTTTATAACAACGAACCCACAGATCTGTCCTGACCCCCCCTCCCTTTTACTCTTTCAAAAGTCCACAGTTCAGAGCAAACACTGAATATGAGCAAGTGAAACATGTCTAGGGACAAGGTTGGCAAGCCAAAGGCACAGTATCAAGCTCACTGATTGGTTGATATACTAGCAGAGCACACTACTGTGCCTGGAAGGAATTAAAGCAAAAATAAATCAACAAATGAATACACAATGCTCGTCAGGATACATGCAAAGTGCATGGACATTCTCATGCTGCATTATGTCATGGCAACTTGCGTAAATGTTAAAAGTGCCCAATTCTGCAAGGCAATTCTGCAGTTAAGAGTTCAAATACATGTGCATGTACAGTTTAATTGACTGAAGTCAGAAAATTTGTGTTCTGTACTACACTGTAACTTTCCCCAAAAATCTGAAGTGCAAAAGACAAAAAATAACACTGTATAAATCTGTTAAACTTTGCAGCTAATTGCTTTGGTCGCCTCTGTGCAGAGCAGTGGATCAGGGTTAATGACCTGTGAACTCTTAACACTTTCTTTTTTTTTAATGGACTTTAAATTTTCTCCAAGTACAACTGTAATTATTACATATGTACATCCCCTGTTCAGTATACGAGTAGTTGACAAGGAAACAACCATTTTGAACAATATCCTTCATTATCCAAGACAACCTGCTTATTTCTAAAAACATTTATGTACGTGTACACTTGGGACAAAAAGTTTACATACATGTAAGCCTGGCAGAACAAAAACAGTTTCCCTCAAATTTCACAACTTCACTCATTCCTACCAACTTTTTTAATCATGAGGCCAGACAAAATGGGTCTCTACTTTACATGGTGTATTCGTCAAATTAGGGCTGAGTCAATTCGAATAATTCCCTATCCGAATATTCAACTTTCAATTCGATTGAATATCCAAATATTTGGTTGTACCAGATTTTTGATGAACAATCCATATACAAAATCAGTTGCTAAGACGTGCAAAATAGTACATTATAATCATTATAATAGCTTCCATGTATAGGAGTATCTCCACCTACAATTTAGCATCTTAAGATTTAGAGATGAACAATATTTATTGTCCTCTAAAAGTTTTTATTGAATAATTTACTTTTGAATCGTAATATTTCTGTCACTTTTCATTTGAATCTGCTTGAAACAAGTCAACAATTTTTCTCATTTTAAACAAAAGAACTTCTCTCTTAGTTTTCATGAATTTTGCATTCAAATATTCAAATTCGGAAAATATTCAAATATTCAATACTCAATCAAATATCCGGATATTCGGAACAGCCCTACGTCAAATAAAAACTCCAAGAGATAGATTTACACATGTCTAGACAAAAAATTAAAATTTTACTTACTCCAACCCTAATATTTAGAACCACTTTCTGTATTTTGGTAACATCTTATGGTCGCAGTAGACAACTTTCTGAATTGTTTTTAAACCACAATAAGGGGGTAGTTGTAAATTTTTCCCAAAATTATTTTTCTGAAATATACATGTAAGTACATGTATTTTGAAACAAAATAAAAGTATCGCAGTATTTTCAACTGAAGTACACACTATGACCATTGAGTTGAGATACAATTTGTCTGACCTCATCCAAAATGTTGGCAAAACTATTTCAAACAGCGAAACACTGAGGAAAACTGTTTTTCTACCAAGTGTACACGTGTGTAAACTTTTTGAACCGACTGCACATGTAATGTCATAACGGCCAGGGTCACACTAACAACTGCATCCTGGTGATAGGTGGAAACAACGCAGGATCAAGACATAATGCCGGGGATTGCGAGGAAAGCCTTTACTGAATGGCTGAGTAAGCCCTTGATGAGACCCCTGATTCTTCCCAAAGCTCGCATTTCCTCTATGGGTTTGGTGAAAGGGAAAGTATCTGGATGATACCCCTGGAAGGGGGTACTGGGATGGTCTGACAGGATATTAGAAGATTGCAACTTTTAAGTTGCCTGAGACTAATTGACAGTTCAGAAGAGAATGTTCAATTGAGGTATATCACTGCTGATTCATTCTGACTTCATATCTGAAGGCCAATACTAGGAAAGGGGATTCATGACTGGTTCAAACCCTAAAATGTACATGTTCAAAGAAAACTACTGCAACGGACTGCCGACATTGGAAATTCTGAAATACACCAAAACATCTTAATAAAGGAAACGCTGATAAATCTTAAACTTCATACTGCCTTTCGTAAATGATACTTAAACGGGCAGACTTTTGGTATAGTGTTAAACTGTCAAGGTAACTGCAGGCAAGGGTTCCGACCCATCAGTGACGCCAAACTTAGGATGGAAGTGCAAAAATTAAATCAAGACGGCCAGTGCAAATTAGTAAAGGTCTTGTGCTCGCACGTGCAAATTAGTGGGAAGTGAAATGGCACAAGATAGGTGTCTCCGGAGGAAAAGAGGATGTTAGGATGAAGGGAAGAGGGTGTAACATTGATCATGCAGGAACTGGTCAGCAAGCAGAGGGGCAGGGTAGGGTTGGACCGGGCGATTATACATGTAAACTGAACATGCCGACCCCCTTCCCTCCATCAATCCATCAGCCTGACATTATGATGCACACACATTTATTTCTCTAGAAAATTTGCATACATGTATATGAACGGTTGCCTCGCTTCAAAAGGTTACCAAAACAGGTTTCAGTCCAAGTATTTCTCTCCAACAAATTAAGGGGAAAGAAACAGTTAAGGCAATATTCGAGTCATCTACACAGACATTTGGGTTATGTGCAAAGGAGGATACAGACAAGACTCAGACACACATGTATTTCTCTGAAATGCATTGGCTGTGGTTGATCCAAATGACAATGTACAAGTATGTTGATTTCCATAAAGAAATGGATGGAATATCTGGTACATTACAGATACACATATGCACCAGTACTTTAAATAGTACTCATTTGATAGCTGTTTACACATAAAAAAAGAAACAAAAGCAAAGTTTGTCCTCCAGAAGGGAATATATCACAACAGAACTCAGCCATGTTTACTGGATGAACAAAAATGGGATTGAGGAAATGAAATTTGGTTTGTTCACCAAATACAGGAGTGAAATGCCACCCCGTCGCGACAAATGCCACGAAAAAACTTGTGAGCGTTTGGCTACGCAATCAATCATACAACACAACATCTGAACATTCTGGTAGTCTTCAGCAATTGCTGTTCACACGCTTTGTATTACGGGAGACGGAGGGGAGCCCCCTTTATATCTATAGCAAATTCCTCAAATGCCTCATGCTCACTCCACGGTCAGTGGAAACAAGTTGGACCAAAAAAACTACGGGATCACAGTCAGTCATGCAGTTTCAGTCAGTACGAGAAGTGCACACCATATTCCATGCATGAGTTCCTGTCACTTCCCGCTCGGGCTGCGTCCGAAAGTTGTGGCTGTCAGTGTTGACTGGAAAATAACACACAGGGCTAAGGAAGCCGCCCGGCTATGGCTGCCGCTATTTTCAACCGACCAGTGGCCTCATCTTTGGGATGCAGCTGGATTGTTCAGACAAAAGCCTGAAACCGTCCCGGCCACAGACGTGTAAACGCATAGACCACAGATCACATTCAAAACTACACAGGCATTTCATGATCTGAGTGGCACCTGACTTAAATTAGAACTATGGGCAAATTCACCCCTTGGTATACGGAATTAATATCCAGTTGAAGAATTCAAATTTTTTGAAGCTAATTATGGATTGAAATATATATCCTCTAGTTACTTAATCCAGCCCAAGGTTGCAACATTTAGAAGAAGGTAGAACCGAAGAGGAAAGGGTGAACATACTTTGAGAACACAAGTATCAAAATACAAGCAATGCAAGTGTGCATTACACGTAATGCGCACTGAAAATGATTATATTAAAGCACTGCCATATGTCATTTTGCCCAAACTGTTCATAATCACCGTCATACTTGCAAGACTGGTGGTCTATGCGTTTAAATGTCTGAGGTCCTGGCACAGGACTCTCTGTTACCGGAGCACAAGGTAATACCTGAACAAAGTAGTTCTTACCAGTGAGTGGATTTCCAGCCGGCACTTCTCAAGCTCTTGCCGATGTCTGTCGGCAGCTGTCATGGCCTCTCTCTGCGCTGCCTCAGAGCTCTGGCTCATCGTCTCCCGCAGCTTAGCTACTGACTGGTTGGCCTCTGACAGCTCGGCCATCAGCTCCTCGACCCGCCTGAAAATCCATGCACAAGAGAGTTAGGGGCGAAATCTGTGGGCCACTTATTCTGGTCTGGTGACCAAAATAAATGGCCATTACTGCGCTGGTCCCATGCACATTGCACAGGCATAATGCCACACACCTTCTCCAATGATGGAGATTATATCCCTTGCCAAAATGCACATGCACCTTTGTTTTAGAACAGAAATTCTGTAATGCTGTATCCTCAGACTGGTCCATAACATTGCAAGTCTCTGTTCTTGAAATACATGTCCATTTACTGTGTAATGAGTAGTGTGTACTAATATGTGGTACTGCAACAAAGCCACACAGAACAATAACTTTGGAGGACTGTTGACTACATTTTAAAAAATTGCAACTATTCCGACATATCAAACACTATAGAGTTCTTGTGGGCAGTTTGGACGACCTTCGGGACCTGCATTTACCAGAAACCAGTGGCTTATTCTTGGTACTTTTAAGGGGCATTGGATTCATCGTAAACAGTAATCTGACGCTATGTTTCTTTGTCGGGCAAAATCCTCTGAGGGATCCTGGCGGATTTGAAGGATAAACGGAGGGAACGCAGGAATGGGAAGGGTAGGAGTGGGACTCGGGCCTTCTCACCTCTCCTTTGACCGCAGCTGCTCGTTGAGGTTGACCAGCTGCTCTGAGCTGTCGCCGGAGCTCTTCATCATTTGGGCAATATCAGCCTCCTGTGAGAAGGGACAAATTACAGAATTGCTAGTACGTTATAATGTGGAGGGGAATCCGAGTCGAGTCACTGCTTTTGTGGGTAACAACTTTTGTGATAAGTCCCCAGGGAGGCCCCACTCACCAGTTTCTGCTTGTCCTCGACCAGTTGGGCGCACCGATCTACACTTGCCACACATTTTCTTTCTAAATCTATGGTTAAAATGACAAAGAAAGCCAAGTCAAAATTTCTGGCTGTCTGTTTCACTTCAAAAACTTCCAGATCATGGAACGTGCTGTTTGTTTTTGCAACAAGGTGTCCCCCCCGCACATGTAGTTTTCTCTTTCTCCATTTCCACCAACCTGCGCATGTGTTCTTTAATTCTTGGACAGACGCTGTGAGGTCTTGCAGTGAAGTCTCTTTCTCCGAAAGCTGATTGGTTAAATCTGCAAAACGGGATGGGTACTGTTGAAGCATCTTATAAGTTACTGGATTTAAAGAACGATTCAGCCAGCTGGGACTTTAACAACAGAACTGTAACATAATGACAACACACGTGTACTTTCGCATGGCAGTGAGGTGAGGTGGAATGCGATCCACCCAGTCCCCATAGGAAAGCGCACATGTACACAAAGCATGGCACTATTATGTTTTAGGGCTGTTGGGAAGCATCAATGACAACTGGTAAGGAGCATGATTGAAACTTTTTTCTTACTAGAAGGGGAGCAGGTTGTGATTAGAAGTGGGCGGGTTGAGGGGAGACAAGTGCTGCCATGGATGCATTTGTTCTCGGTATCAATACTTGCATCGTTCATTATTTTCATAAGAACAATTCATAGCAACATGGCAGTACATGGACGAAATACCAACTGGAGATCCACTCTTCAATTAAATAAACCCACAAGCCAATAATCATATTCTTCTTTTGAAGAAATGACTGATTATGAAAATGATCCCGACAGCTTGGGGGAACTACATAAGACACGCGATGAAAACACTTTACCTTCTATTGTTTTTGCTGATTGTTGCTGCTTTGAAAGCCCATCTTGTATTTGTTCTTTCTGTAAGCGGAATAGGAACATGCAACGGAATAAATCAAACAGAACTCTCATGCTGATATTATGATGATGGTGGTATGAATCTAGTCATAATCTGGTCATTGTTTCTTTCTTGTTGTCGTCTTCCGATGAAAAATGCAACATTTTATGTGTACACGAGTGGCATGAATGCATAACTATACACACAGCATGGGTAAGGCAACATTCTTTTCCTGAGTAACTTTGGGAAGTGATGAGAGAAACTTTCTTTGGCTTTGGGCTGTATTTCCTTTGGTGGTGCCGATGACAAGGTTCAAATTTCAGTGGAAGAGGTGTCATAAGCAACTGGCTCTTCTTGAGGGTATTTTGACGTCATGTGTTTGTCATGTACCCAGACCAAATTCCTCTAGCAAAGACAGTCTCACCTACAATCATCAATGTTGAGATGTACATTTTGAAACAATTGTTAAACTTCATGATAGAAGAACCTAAAAACCCCCGATTTTCAAGGACACCAGTCGTTTTCTTGTCCAGAGCCTGACAAAAAGCCAGAGAAGCCTAAATACACACTAAGCCTGAAAGATGCCCTACACTTCAATTGAGTGGCAACAAAAGCTGAAAACAGCTATCAAAAGTGCAAAAATTGCAAAGGTTCTCAAAAGCTGAAATACAGAGTAAAAATCTCAACAATAATAGCTGAAATCAGCTGAGACGTTGAATCCTCCTGCCCCTGAACCATTTTCCTTTCAAAGCTGGGACCCCCTCCCCCTGACCCCTCAATGTTGGACAACGTGGGAAAGCAGCAAGGATGGAATCGGGGCGCATACCAACTGGGCCAGCTCCTCCTCTTGCCCCTTCTTCTCCCGCACCATGCCGGCCATCTTCTCCTGCAGGCCAGCAATCTCCAGGTCCCGCTGGGTCAGCATCTCCTCCCGCTGTTTCTGCACCAGCTTGTTGTACTCCTGCTTGGCCACCAGGCCCAGGGCGTTCTGGTTCTCCTTCTGCAGGAACTCGATCTGCTCCTGGTAGGTGGCCGCCTCCGCCTCCAGCTCGGCAATCTTGAAGTCCTTCTCCTCAAACTGGCTCTGGAAAAATTTGGACGGTGGCACGCTCTTCTTGAAAGTCTTGCAGGATCATTGACAGTATTCTTTTTTTTTAAATATTCCAGGCTCAGATTCAAATGTACATGAAGAATAATATTAAGCTTCACTTTAAAAAATTCAGTCTTGTGCATGTTTAAATCACAATATGCTTGAATGGAATCCAATGTTTTTAGTTTGATCAGCAGCCCTTTTCTCAGAGTGCATGTTTCTTTGTATAAATACATGGATACCACTCTGAAGGACTCATACCTTTTTTCCCATACTTGTACCAATAATTTTAAGGATACGTTTTATAACAGATTGCTTTTACAGTTGACACATGTACATGTGCACTCACGCCAAAACAAGTTAAAACTGTTTTTCTACTTAATCTTTTTATTGGAATGTTCAGCATTGACATGATCCTGTGGTCCTTGACATGAAGGGGACCTGTTACAGTGATCCTCCCTTTTGCATAATTCTAATACAGTTCAACAATTTTAATGCTACCAGACTAAAAAAATGTGAGTTTTGGCGGCTCATCAGGGCTCAGCTATTATTCAGAACCTTGACCGACCTGTAATGAGTCAACCTCTTGGTGTAGTTTGGATGCCCTCTGGTTTTCCTCCACTAATCTCTCCTTCAAAGTTTTCACTCGGGCTGATTCTTCCTTCTGCTCAGCCTGTTGGAATCAAATGGCAGCAGATGTGTTCAAATGTGAAAAAAGTAGTGTGCAGCTTCAAGAGAATCTACATGTACATGTACATACATTTGCTACAATGAGAACCCCATCGTACTTATGTAATTACTTTGGTTCTATCTAGAACTGTTTTCTCAGAGCAGCTGCCAATGCATGCGATCATGATATCAAGCATCCAAAACGCTTTATAGCGTTTAATCAATGAAACATGTTTCACAACATAACATGCGACTGCACTGCTAATCCAATCAAAATAGGTATAGTACCGGTACATACAAAACAGTTTACACAAAAAACTGAAACAGTCTGACGACTTGTCAGAAATCCCAAAACTTCAATACATAATGCTGCGTGAAATGAGCCGATACATGTACACATATACATTGTACCATTGTACGTGCTCCCCTTCCTTGCACGTACTTCCCTTGCCCACAAGGTCAATTAACAGTAAGACTATGCACAACTAAAATGCGGGTTTTATACTTGTGAGTAAAGTGCACACTCGGATGTCAGATTTCACAGAACATTAAATGAAGAAAATGGAGGGTCATTTCAAAATTCAGGTAAAGAGTGGCAAAAGTCCGGAACACCTTAATTTCTGTGCAAACATTTACACACATACATGTACATGTACAGGCATGTGCACACACTTATGTAACACCAACTTACTGACAAAACAGGTCTGCTGAAATGAAGAGGTCAAACTATTTGTGGTTCTCAGACAGATGGTTAAGATATATCTCAATCTCTTGAGGTCAACACATATTTATCTCAATGACCGAAAACTATTTTGCTGTCTTAATTCTCAAGCATGACAAAAATTCAAAGAATATTTCTTGATATCCAAGAATAGCAGAAACCAACATGTGTAGTCAACCTTCCCTTCCCGGACGCCAAGTTGCTGTTCCTGACAGAACACTAATCGCTGCACCATATCCCAATCACGCAACTGCCCATCCAAGGTACTGTAAGTCCACATCTGCCTGTGACATTATTCAATGGCCATGCTTCATTTTTTAGCCCGATTTTCCCCCCCCTCCCTTGGGTTTACACTGGGTAGCTTAATTCAATTACCACTCCCGCAAACATGCCCAGTTACTCAAGGATCACAGGAAGAGCCGGCCAGAGTCCAGAGCTAACGGCACTAATTGGGATGACCATCCTCCACCAAGGTCAATGGGAGAAAGAAAAAATATGACTACATGTACTGTCCACAATGAGATGAGGCCCCTGGCTAATCAGCTTAATAAGGGATGCAATGCACTTTCATCTTGTCCACTTTAGATTGAGTAAACAGACTGACTCGTTACTTTAATACGGAGTGGAAAAGGAAGAATTGTCAATTTTGGAGCAGTTGATGGAGATTGGGCGTAATTATTTTCAGAGGCAAGGAGTGACTTTGGGAATCTGATGGGGACTCTGATTGATCCTGGAAAAGATGACTGAATTATTTTATGAAGCACTGCCAATGAAAAAAAAAAAATCATATGTGCCTGTAGCTAAGTATTACGTGGTCCAACCAAGTGAAAAAAAGGTTTTAAAAGGCAGAAATTACAATGTGCCCAAACAGAACAAACAGGTAAAACAAAGGGCTGCATTCGTGCTAATGCACAGTTCTCCAGAAACACACAGAACAAAACATAAACCTAGAAATGCAAACAAATACAAAAACCCTGAAAACCAACCAAATTAAAACCTCATCAAAAGAGTGACACAATGTTTACTATGAAGTTATGCTCCGGGCACCCACTTAAAAAGAAGATCTCAAATCCCTCAACTTTGTCGGAAACAGTTATCAACTCTGCCCAGATACACATACTGTACATATCCTACACTTGCTCTCAGTTGTGGCCATTTTAACTTAGAATTCTCTCCAATTTCCAAAATCCAACACAAGCGTGACCAACTACCACACAAGTATTCCATGGTGCATTCTCTGTGTACAACTGGAACGGCAATGGGCACAATATCAAGTCCTGGTCTCTGAAGTACTTCATCCTTCCAAAATATTTTTTTTTAAACACCAGTTCCACGCAGCCATGGGGTTTTGGCATACTCTGAATGGTTACAGTTAGCACAGGACCAACCTGTTCTCACCTTAAGGTCTGTGGAATTAATGTTGGCCTCTTCCAGGCGGAACTGAAGGTCTTCCAACTTTCTGGAGCCGGCGAAACAGAAAAAAAATAAACAAAGGTACAATCAAAATTATGTCATAACCCAAATTAACACTTTCTTTCACTATGCTAATTACCTGGAATATGTGCACCGGTCATTCCATGAGGTTGGGGCATAATTTGCGACTGTGTCCATTGTTACATGGGTTCTGTAAAAATGAACAGCTATTTCCCTGCATGTGGATTCCAAATTGACGTTGTTATACATCTTGCAAGGCTGAATACAAAGGTGTGTGTAATTTTTACCGAGTAAATGACGTAATCTACCGGTGCAGGTCATGACAGACGGTAAAAGTTACCCAAGTAACAAGGACACAGTCAGAAATTGTGCCCCAACCTCATGGAATGACCCACACAGCATGTAGCAACAGGCAAGAACATTTTACAACTTCTTGAAGTACAGTACCGGTGCATGTAGATGCTGTGGGGATGTATACATGTACAGTACATGTATCATGCACAATGCATGTCACAAGTACCCATGACAATGAGAAACGACCGTTTAATACTTCTGAGAATGTACATGTACATCTTCTAATGGCAGTACATGACTGCACACATACATGTACATGTACACTCAGCTGGTCTGTAAAAACTATTAAACCTATGCCTGTATCTGCTGCGTGGTGTGTGTACTCAAGCCTTTAACCAGGGTTCGTTTCGTGCAGCTGCCCTCGAGCAGTTCACCAACATCATGTGATATTTGTTGCTCGTGACTGGTTTCCTATTCGATCAGTCTGCGATTTCACTTTTGGAGTCCTGAAGCCTATTCTGTTTTTAGTGTGAAGGACAAAATGCCCCGAAAATCTTCCAAAGATTGAATGAGTGGTTTTTGTTGTTAGCAACTGCTAGAGAAACATGTCAGGCTTGCCGTTAACTGTAACCCCTCATTTTTTCATCACACACTCTCTCATGCTGGGCCTGATCATTTCCTATCATATTTGAAGCGTTTACTTCCAAATGAGATAAGCACCATTTTAGTATCTTTCATAATACTACCCTTTCACAGTCGTCTGCGGTTAAGTTTCTACAGCTTTAAGACAGCCAAACACAAATTTAATGAATCAAAATAGTGAAAAAGAAGTTTAGGGCACATGGTACACTGCTGAAGTTCTTTAGTTTTATAATTGTGGAAAAAGTGCACATTCTCAAATGGATATATCTCATTTTAGGAAATAAACCCTTTACATGTACGGTACATGTGCATGTACATGGTACTTGAAAAAGACAGTGACATGTTTAGTCGTAATACTTGTGAGAATGCTCCAGTTCTGCCTCTCGGGTTAAAAAAATGGAGACAGATGAGTTCTCGTGACCAGATATGGAACTTGCAGAGAGGAAGAATTATTTTTAGCAGGTCTCACATCCTCTGGAGCAGGAAGCCAATAAGCTAGTGCCACGATAGATGGGTTATATATGGGGAAACCACCAGACCGGATGATGTCAATACCATGCGTTGCTATGAGATAAAGACATCGACAAGAATCCAACGAAAACTAGCCAGAAATGTGAAATTTTTTTCCAACTGAGCTCAGGGCAAGAACTTTTCTTGGAGACAAGGGAATCTCTGATTCTTAAGGCGTTTCCTTGAAGACAACATTGGGTGAAGTTCAAGGGTTTTCCGGCATTGTTTTGTGATATTAAGTGGGTTTGATTCCGTGGGCTTCAGTCATTGCTAGTTTGGCTAAGCCATGGGACCAGCAGTAAGCTTTGTTCCATGGAACATTGTCGTGTGGGATTTTTCCACAGCATTTGGGTTCAAGCGATGTGTTAATTGGGATATCAAAATTTACAGAGTCTTTTTTACCATACTGCATTATTCCAAAACAAACATGCAAGTACGAGGTACACCAGGGCACAGTACCATTTTTGGCCAAAAAATTAACCATTTCAAGGGACAACATACAATGTAACAAACCACTGTCCCTTAAGAAGTTGAAATTTTGACATATTGATCAGTGGCAATTGTTCAAGACTTCGGTGACACTAATGCACCAGCGTTTCTCAACTCTATGACAATGCTGCAGCGTGTTAGCTCAAGCATGTGCATGTACAAACTCAATGGGTATCTCTAAAGCCTGGAAACAACTACAGCAGTAACCTGGCCAGTTGGCTGCATGCAGAATTTGCCAGCACAAATGTCCTCTGTGTTCAACCCAGGAAACCACTGCCTGTTTAACATGTTACCTGGTTTAAAGTGATTCAAAAGATCCATTTTGTAGGATCAAGTCAAACAAGCACATATGTACTATCACTAGGTTTCTACACGTAAAAAATCATGGGAGGGGGTAACCTCAAGCTGTCCTTGGACCCACCTTCTCTCCTCTTCCAGCTGCTGCAACAGCTCCACCTTCTCCTTGTCGGCCGATTCCACCAGCGCCCTCAACGAGTCCAAGTTCTCTTCGCTCTCGCGTACGTACTGTGCGAGCAAAGTTCAAAACTTTCTGTCAGAGCATGACTTTGAACCCCTGCAAGTGACTGCAATCTTGTGGGATGAATGGTGCACACCTTTCCAAGGATCCCTAAATATGAAAGATGAGGTCAGCGCATGTGCTGATTGACAAGGAGACTTTTCAGACACAAGATGGCAGTGGATATACCGGTCCATTCCCCACTGTTCTTGAAATTCTCAAGCATGCGATGTCAAAAGCATTGTTGCATCCAAAGGTTTGTGACAAGGCTATCACAAGTTAAACTCATTCAGGACTCCAATTCACCAGTGTGGTTAACAAACCATTTACATGTACACTGTAAATGTCGTTTGTTAGGATTAGGTTGGCCAGCAACTCTTGAAACTACCAGTACCACTGTGCTTACAATATTCAGTTGGTAGCAGGCACAATCCAACCAAGAAATGTACTACACATATTCAGTTGGTAGCAGGTACAATCCAGGTCCAAAAGTTCTTCATGCGTCAACTGTCCTTCGGTTGTAACATGCACTATTATCAGTTGAAACATGGCCTGCATGACATGTTCAGCCCACATGAACAATTTTTTTTCTGGTCTCAGAGAGTGCATGGTGCAAGCAGGACATGTGGACCGGATTGTCCTTCATTTGAAAAATCTTCTGCAAACCACATTTTTTCATGAGTATAAATTGCACCAAATGATTTACAGCCAAGTCATACTGTACACGTAACGATCCAATATACCCATTGCCATCCAGAGTTCAGAAAGTCTCACATGTCTAAGAGTGATGCATATACTCGTGTCTCTTTCGGACGTCGGTGAAAGACAGAATGAATGGAAATACTGGACAATTGTTGGCTTTGTCTGACTAATGTGGTGTGGCTTCCCTTGTTTAATTATAATAGGGTCCAAAAGGAAGTTACAGGCCCACGTTTAAGTGCATTCAGAGCCTCTGTGAATCAAACTCTCAACCCGAGGGGGGAACGACAACTTCCCCTCAAGGTAAAACAGTCTGGAATTAGACATGCACTCTCAAAAATACACGGTTCCATTAGCGATTAGTAAACATGCTGCTTTGCAATTTAAGGGACGCTGGGGAGTCTGGGTTGCATTTGGTCAATGTCTATTAGTTTAGAAACAGACTAAGGGTATGGACAAATAGAGTATTCACAACAGTTCACATACATTGTACATATATCCATCATCTGCTTGTATGTGTAAATTAAACTTTGGCAAAGCCATCATGGCAAAAATCAACTTCATACAGTATATGTATCTTTAGTTGATACTTTTCCCTCTAAGTCAAACTATCTAAGAGATGTGCTTATCTCAACTGGCACTCTGTATGCAAGGCGGCTACATACATGTACAACTTCAATTTGGATGATGCGTAATCAATTAAAAATTGCTGAGAACTGAATAATGAGATTTGAAAAATCAAGGGACCTGTCCTTACGACTCGTGTGTCTTACAACTGGTTAACAACTGTCAATACCTCGAGAGAAAGCCAGTATCAGCCAAGGTTGCATGAGTAACTTGATACTACTCGGACTTACTTCAGCTGATACATGTACCTTGGTTTTTATTGTGCAATATAATCTCCTTCCAACAACAAATTTTGTCCACACTTTAGCGGTCTATCTGGTTTCAGAACTGGTTTCCGTGACAACGGTAGTCAAGAGGAAACAGTCTAAACCCTGGTGTACCTGTTCGTGCTGAGCCTTGATAACTGCTAGTTCATGCTCGGCCTGGTGAGATGACTGCCAACACAGTGCAAATACGGTAACACAAGGCGAGAGAATTGATAGAAAGAAAGAGCAAGGGGAAGACAAAACAAAAATTGGAAAATAACAGGGAAGAAAGAAACAGTATGGGTTTAGTATTATTATCCATGCTGGGTGGCAAACTCATTGAGTTCCATGACACATACTGAGCAGAGTACACAAAATACATCAACATACATGTCCATGTATTCTGTAGGTTACCAACTAAAACGTAACATTTGCATTCATTGCTTATTTTTGGCTACCAGCCACACTCAACTGACAAACTTTGGCAACTTTGAGTTCAACAAATGTTGACCACATGATGGACAGTGTGAACCAAATGCTAGACCATTTGGAACCAGGGCCAAGGGCATGGTCACACCACCTGTTATCAATGGCAGATTTCATTTATCAGTGCATTGGAAACCATTCACACTAGAATACTTATACCAGATGCCATTCACACTAAAAGCTGCAAGAATTGCAGCCAACATCAAAATGTGACTGATGACAAGATTTGCCAAAACAGTCAGTCACCTTCCTCCATGATCAAAGGCCGTTTGAGTGTGACTGTATTACACATCAGTCTACATACAGGTACATGTAACTATAGTTCGCATTTCCCTTATCAACAAAATGACATCCAAAAGTCAACCCTTCTACAGCTTTCTGTACAAAGCTGTATATTGTTTCACAGTGTTTCCAGTATGTTTTGTATGGATTCAAAGTACACCTATACTGTATGTTGAAGCATTTTCTGCTCAGCATGTTTCTAAGCAACTTCATGAGTTTGCTCTCCGTCAAGTAAGTAATTTTAATGGGTGAGGGGAAAGCTAGAGTAGAGAGTCCATGGTGTTACATGTAATGGGAGGTGTCTCAGGCCCAAGTTGATCCCCAGGGGCATGGTAGCAAAGATGAGTATGGGGTGAGCTATTACGCCTGAGGAACCAGACCATTTTGAAAAGGAAAAACTAAGGCTGTGTCCAAATGACTTGGCTGCAGCTTGAAAATATGCTTGAGTCTGTGGTTGTGGCTAGAGCCAGTTTTCATACATGGTCTGTGATTTCAAGTTGCAGCCAAGTCATTTGAACATGGTCTAAGATTTCGTCCAAACATTATGGCTGAGGCTTGAAATGGTACATGCACCCATAGAAGATACTGGGTCTCGGTGCAGCCACTTCCTATTCAGACCCAGCCTTAGAGTGGGCATAATGTAGATACAGTGTGCAATGTGATAGTCAGCAATAAAATGAATGAATGACCAAGTACTATGGCATCACGAGCAATCAATTTCAATAACAGTGGTATCAATATCAACAATTATGCAGCCACAACTACAACACACTGCTTCAAGAATTACACAGACATGTACATTGTACGTCATATGCTCATATGCATACAATAAATACATATCCCACACTCCATTAACCAAGAGTACGTGTATGTTGACAACTTCTTAAAATCAACCCTAGCCTCAGATAAGTACACATGGATGGGATGCAAGTGTGAGGTATCGGTACATGCAAACAGTGTGCCTGTATGCAACACCTGAGCGATGTCCTCTACCTGTGGTGGCGTGACTCGCTTTACACTATAATGTTTGCTTTCAGACTTGGCAGAAACACTTCAAATCACGGCAAAGAAGTTTGAAGATTTGCAGAGTTCAAAAGGCAGCAGAAGAAAATTAACTTATTGACGAAAATAGAGAAAACCTATCAACTCATTTAATATATTTTTTCACTAAATTTCAATTCTTTAAAATCAAGCAACCAACAATTTGTGACAAGCAATGATCTCTGCGTCAATCTTTTCAAAAGCTGATTTTCTCAGAGGGTAGAAAATGGATTGTTTCTGTGTCTGAACTCTTCAAGAAATATTTCGTACTAATATAATCTTTGGTACATAAAAATTTGTGTGAGTTACAAAACAGTTCCAAATTTTGTCACAATAGTTGAATCCTCAAAATACAAAAAGAGAATGAAAACTTCATAAATCAAACTTGATGTCATTTCAGATATGCAGAAAATCCCCCAGCTTTACCATATTTTTGTGATAACTTCAGATGATGTCAAGCAGCCATCTTGAGTAGGATACCAGCACTCACCTCCAGCTCACACAAATATCTTAATTTGTTTGTCATAGCTGCGACTCTGGCCTTCCACTGCTGTTTTTGAAATAACACAGACACCAGATGCGATCCCTTCCCCACACACACACAACACAAAATGTGCGTGCAGTTTTAGGACTACCTAGTTTAATCTCTTGGACATGTTTGTAAGCCAATGGGAAAGGCATCAGTGTCACGATGTCGAATTGATTCGTAAAAAAAAAAAATCCCACTTTGAGGTAAGAAAGAAACTGTGTACATTTTAGGCATTGCTCTACCAGTATGTGTGTCATCCTCTATTCTTGTCCATTAGTATGATTGGATTAGAGGTATCTGTGATGGTTAACTGACCTGTGAATGTGCACTCCCAAGTGCAGCGGGCCAGAAGACGTAATCAGGGTCAGTGGAGTACAAATTATCCCTGCTTTAATTTAATTCCAAGCAGTGGCTATTTGTAAGGACATTACAGTGGAGTACATGTGCCGCTTTGTATCGAACAATCTAAAGCACAAGTTGCCTGCGGGATATTTTTTTTCAAATATTACTTACCGAACCTTAGGAATCATGTCAACTGCCACACTTGATATCTATGTTTTGACTTTCAATGGGTCTTCCCCACAAACAGATTTTGTTTTATGAATCAGAATGCTTTTTGAGTGAATGAGTCGACAAGGTTTGAGATTTTGTAAAATGAGGTCACCCATGGTTTTTAAACTAAAGAATGAGAACGGCCTTTAATAATGACTCACATTAACATTTTGATGTCCAACCAGAAAAGTAACACACATGTGCATGCATTTTATCAATACGATTAAATACAGCAATGGAAACCTACGTTTCAGCAAGACGTTTTTAACCAACTCCTACTTTACCGAGTAAATATATTTAACCTTACAGCGTAAACTTTGGAAACTAGTGAAAATGTTTAGGTGCTTGTTTGTTATGATAATGAATTAAATATTACAGTGCATCAGCATGCAATAATGAACCAACAGCAACTAGCACAAGAAACAGCCAATCAAAGCCAGCGACAGAATTGATCACTCACATCAGCCCACAGTGAGACAAGAACACACATAACCATAGTAATGGCTAGTCGACTCCATCTACCTTTGAGTATCTGCATTCTCTAGATTGGGGAGGGGGGTGACAAAAGGGGAAGGACAAGGGAGGAGAGGGGGCGTAAGGGGGTTGCTTCGACCCTACCTCGAGCGATTCCCTGCTCAGGCCAGAATCACTGTCCCTCTTGCGCTGAAGTCGGGGGGCGGGGGACTCTTGGTGGAGGGGCTGCGTTACAGCGGCAACCACACTGGACTCGTTGTGCAATTCATCACCTTGGCCATGCACGTGCGCATTTTCAGCTCTAAAACCAAAGCCATTTCTTTTTTCCACCTGATGTGGATTTTTTTTTAAGAGAAAAGCAGGCAACAGGCAAGAGAGGAGTTACGTGGACAAATAAAAGAAAAAGAGTGTAAATGAACTGATACAAATGAAATGGAGAGATTAAAGTGGGTTCAACTCAACTGACTACAAAAACTCAGGCGTAGTTTTGCAGAGACAAAAGGTGACAGAGCAGTTGGGACAACAGAAATCCAAAGAGAGATTTGTTACATATGAAAGAAAAAGCGTAACATGTAACACACATGGTATACATACATGTACAGTAAACATGTTTTAGATTCTTTGACAGCATTTTTAACCCTAGTTTTAGCCTTAAGCTTGAAATCATCCTAACCCAATGGCAAATGAATATTTCATGCAAAAGTAAAACACGCCACACAATGCAAAACTCACGCCACACACTTACGTGTACGTACATGCCCGCACATCCACGTATAGTAGATGCAAACTACACTCTGATATTTATGAACTTCAGTTATGTTCAAAATTTCGACAGAGGGGCAACAAAATGAAAACCCAAACCAAAACTGTAATTGTAATTGCTTCTACTGAACTGTTACATCACTGTGACCAAAATTCTATCAATGTATTTAAGAATTCCACGCACTTTTGCTCAACTTGTTTGCTGTACACTGCTGCACATGCACACTGCTCCTGAACATCAAGGAACCAAATACTGAAAACTTCAAATGATGCTTGCACTGTTTGTATAGTGTGTCTTTTCTTTATAATTTGTACTCCTGAAAGACGTGGAATAGGTTTGTCACTGAAAAGTAGGCTAAAATGAAATTTACGAACTTTTATTTCTGCTGAAGATGTTTTTGTGCTACAAGATGAAGCCTATCAAGATGGAGGGTGTCATTTAGAAACATGAGTGAAATACATGTACATCAATGGGATTGAATGGTTCATGGGCGTATACGTTAGTTGAAGAGGGCAGGCCGGCAACAGGTTAAGAGGCTGTTTCTTCTATCAGGAAATTTTGGATTACACTGAAATGATTTGGAGTGTTTGCACAATGTGTTGGGTCCCCACAACTACTATTCAACAGCTGTGTTGCCATCACAACTACAAGGAACAAAATTCTTTATAGACTATTTCTGTGAACAAAGCCTACCTGTGACACACCGGCACTGGTTCGCCGGGAGCCTTCGTGTGTCCGCGGTGAGGCAAGGTCAGCCATGCCACCTTGGCCCAAATTCCTGGAGAAATTGGAGGCCGTGGACCCCATGGAGCTCAGCGAGCTGGTGCTGCTGCTGCGCTTCTCCCTGGTGACTGTCTCCAAGGTGCTGGACCGGGGAGGGGGCTTGCCCCGCACCTTAGCCACCTTGTGGATGGGGGCAAAGAGGCCGTGCTTGGGCTTGCATTGGAAGTACCTGACAGTGTAAACAGTGGTGGGGAAAATGATATGAAAAGACCCTGCGCTGAACTAAAAGTACGTGTACATTTCCCCAACTTCATGTAGCTTTTCAATTGCAGGTCTTATCAGTGCATAGATGGAAGCTGGGGAGAACCTTCCTGAAGCAGTGTCTAAATTGACTCCATACTGTCGTGACTGTGTGCTGAGAAGGGCACATTGCAAAATGAGATTTGAGCCAACCAGATGTTGGTACCAGTCCACTTCTTGCCATGCTTGCTAATAAGCCACAGACAGACTTACATGTACGTGTACTTTAACAACCTGAGTTAGGACACGTTATGGCTCCACTTTACAAAAAAACCCACACCTAAGCCATGTGCTACATGTACATGTACATATACCGTGCATGAACACAGGAAGGATAAGGGTCACAGGCATCACGGAAAAGGGAATCAATTTTGTGCAAAATTTTGGAGATGAGGTTCCATATCCTACAAGTACAGGTTTAATAGTTTAGCCCGCAAAGTACATGTGTACCATCAAGCTTTGATATCGTACACAGGGCAGATACACACCTTGTTCCCGCCACAGCACCATCATTTTTCCCCAGCTCTTCATCCAGCTCCACACCTGCCCACTCCCCCTTGGCAAACTCGGTGGTGCCGATGTACCTCAGCGTCCCCAGCTTAGTACCGCTGACGACGACGCGGTCCCCTCCCTACAAGGCCAACACAACATTTGGAAGTCACTACAGAGGAAAGGGAAAGACTCTGCACACGCTGTACTGGTACATGTGCTGGTAGAGGTTTATCCTTTACATTTACATGCACTGTAATTGCACACGTATACTTCGGCTGGCTTGGAGGCCTTACTTGAAATGAGGGAGACATTTTGATGGGGTCGAAAAGCCTTGAGGCTGACTTATTTAGAAGTGCGTGGCATGGGTGCTATTTCCAATGTTTGCATAAAAACTCTTCAATAATTTCACTGTTTATCGTTGGCAACACCCAGGTAATTCTGTACCTTAAGTAGGAGCAAGAGGCGGGAATGGGAGCAATGACCTGTTGGTACCCCTCCAGGAATGCAATTATGATATCAGATCTGTTTACATTGGGGGGGGAGATATAGTGGTATTGACAGGCCACCTCTGGGTTTGAACTCTACAGAATTTTACAACTTTGGTTATAGCACTTTGCCTATGGGTTCCATCCTATACACAAAGTCCAGTGGAAATTTCCCACCATTCAATACAAAAGCAGAGTATGCTTTTAAACTTTGATCTTGTATGCACATGTACATGCACGTAAGAGTGTTAAAAAAAACCCAACAAAACGTAAAAATTCAGTGGCAAAGAAAATTTTCAAGATAATGTGACATCTTCAGGAAAAAGTGTTTACTCGGCTAAACATGCCAGACATTTTGAACGATAACAATTTTAAAGCATCCAGTGTAAAACTAGATTTGAAAGATGTTAAGGGAAACCCACCTTGAGCCCTATATTGGTGTTATCCCCTGACGTTTCCTCTACAACGGTCGCAGGCTTTGCTGTTGGGGGCGGCATCTTGGCCACTGATCCCCTGGGCGAGGCCACCCTTGTCCCCATCCTGGGGGCTGACGGGAGCCCCGTGGGTCTGGCCAGACCCTGCCCGGCCACGGCCGATGCCAGGTTGGCACTCCCCGCAGCCGACTCGCGCGACAGTTTATCGGGCCGGGCGAAGACCCCACGTTTGGGCTCGCACTGGAAGTACCGAACCCCGTTGACTGAGCCATCATTCTTGCCCACGGGCTCGTCCAGCACCACCCCGGCCCACTGGCCAGGAGCAAACTGGGTCTCACCGAGGTACTGGATGTAGCCCCGCTTGTTGCCACTGACAATGACCCGCTCGCCGATGATGAAGTTGTCCTTAGGGGTGGAGGAGTTAGAGGAATTTGTGGAGGGAACCACCTTGACGAGGTTGTCTGCATAGTGGCCGGCTTCCGATGGTTTCATACCAGCCACCCGGGCAGACTGGGCCACAGCATCTGGGCAGGAGAAACAATGTCATGCACTTTACAAACTTTGAACTGGTACCGGGTACATGTACAATGTATGTTTAAAAAAACTCTTGTGCAACTGGTTTAATAAACAAGTACACGTACATGTATGCAGTCTGTATTCGGTTCATAAGTGTGACGTCACTTCATTTCAAACCGCGCCCACTGCACATGCACTGCACACAGAGCTACACGCATTGATCACCATTTACATGGAACCGGAAGTTAACGGGCAACTGCAGCAGTCATCCAATGGAAGCCTGCGAATACTGGCGCGCCCGCCTTTGTGACGAAGTCACTTATGAACCGTATAGTCCATGCTATAATCATGCAAACATTTGGAGCAACTGTGAAAAATTTCCATGTGGTCTACATCTTCATTTAGAAAATTTTACATGTTCACACGTACCATAAATGTACAATCCTTGCACGTACATTTGCATGCACCGTACATGAACATTAAATGCCTTTGAATCAATGTACCAAAGCGGTACAAGTAAAGGGCAGATCTTTCTGTGGAGGGCCTAACCATTTGGAATTTTTAATCTTAAACCCTTCAACCTCTTTATGGCCTTCCTGAGGAGTGCGGCTATATTTAGGGGCTTTTTCCACTTCTAGAAGGAACGGAAACAAAATATATAGAAAATGAAATGGACACATGTACAGGTACACAAACGTACTTGCTATATCTCTCACAGCATATAAGCCTACCTCTGCTTGTAATGATTAGTAACTGCTGCACAAACGTTTAGAGTAAACAATTTATGCAAAATGTACAAGAGTTTACAGATGTACGAATACAGTTTTACACACATGTACAGTATGTGCATATAATTTACAACAGGGAAGTTGAAATGTGATAGATTACAAACTCCAAATTTAGAGCGCAGGGTAAGCGCAGGTCACATAACAATAAACATCAAACTACATAATGTAACACATCAAACATTTCATCAGGCATGCAACATGAGAATGGAGTATGTGGGAAAAACAAGGAAATTCTTCACTGCAACAAAAACGGTGTTTTTCAGTTTGCAATGGCATACTTGGGTATCAAAAATGAGGAAATCAACTGGTCTTGGGAAAAAACTGTGTGGATTGTTTAACAAAACAAAAACTGGACAATGCTTAAACTTTTCTGCTCAGGGTACATAAACTATGCACACCAGGCAGTATACATAACGGTACTAGGCCAATATGAAGAGTATACAGAGCCACTTTTATTTTTGCCATTTTGATGTCAGTAAATAAAGTAGTTTCAGAACAGTGAGCATGTTCGTAAATAAAAAAAAAATCAAAAATAAAAATGTTTGTATTTAGACGTGATTATACATACATGTACATACATGTACCGGTACATGTATGTAGTTTTTGAGGAATTCAAGACAGAAAAGGATAAACATGGGCCATGGAGCTACATTGTACATGTACATGTATGTAGATGTACCAAACAAAAGCATGGCTGTCATGTTTGTCAAATTGTCATTCACGTTTTTTTGCTCACATATTTCTCATGTGTACGGTAGGTAATAAAGTTGAAATACATGTACATGTACGGTACACTGCACATTGTATCTTGGAAACTATTAGGACCACCTAGTTCATGGACAATCCAAACAGATACAGTGTAGAAGCTACCGGTGCATGTACATGTACTTAAATGGGGTCCCAGGCAAAACATTTACCCGTTCAGTACCGGTAAAAAAATAGTCTTCCACTTTGGAGCTACATGTACATGTATTTTGCATTTTGTTCCCAAAAGGGGACGTATCTCAGACATGAGGCCAAAAAACTGTAAACAGCTGTGTTTACGCACCGGTACGAGTAGCCCAACCTGAAAAGCCCACAGTGTGTACTATACATGTACATGTACGACTTTTAATCCAAAAATTAATTTTAAAATTTTAAAAGTTTCAGTGCTGACCCCAAAGACTATATTTTGTGTCCATCATCCTGACGGTCAACTTGACAAAACAAAGTGGCTGGCTCTTTTGAGCTTCATATAACCAAATTTACCACAATCGTTTACAGTACATAAATGTACAATGTACATGTACTTACTTTCTAAAATCACCACTATGAACTACACGTAAAGTTAAACCGGTGAAAATGGCACTGATGATATTTATACTGCATTGTTCAAATACACAACTTTTTTCGTTGTTTGGCCTGAACAAAAACATCAAAGTCTGTCCCACCACTCTGATTTTTGAAGACATTAAATTGACAAACAAGGACAGCTACATGTACATGTAACAGTACATGTTCATGTACACATATGGATGGGTACCCGGTAGTTAATGCACAGCGTAGTAGGGTCATGTACTACTAGTACAAGTACATGTACCAGACTCTGTATGTTAAGGCCGGTACATCTATTTCATTGTTTTCTTGAAGGTAAAAAATACACTAGTAAGAGGAACTTGAGATTGACTTCGACTTAGAGTCAAATTTGTCTCTTTGGGTCCTGAAAAAGTTCAGCCCACACTACCAGTGTACATGAATTTATTTACACATCATACATTGTACCGTACATGCACATGCACATGTAGCATACCGGTAACAACACCCATTTCTCATTCTCATTTTTAGTCAATACTGGCAGTCCTAAAGAACACACTTCTCCTCAGAGTATGGTACAGTAAATGTGCTTTGGCTACATGAATGTCTTACTTTTACGAACATAACAAATCGGTACTTATGCACCTTGTACATATATGTACATGTACAAGTAACAAAGTTCCATTACCGGGCAAAGTTGAAAAAATTACACAGTACATGTAGGCCTACTGTACGGTATGTGAGAATAACAGACCACACAATAGCAGTGCGGAAACCATCATTGCAGGTCAAAAAGAAATAAATTTCCTGTTGAAACATACTGTGCAACAAAACTAAAATCGATCTGTGATCTTACAGTTGTCACTCTTCCGGTGAAAACTGGAGAACCTGGAGAGCATAGATTTTCCCTTCGACATGATGCCTTGGTTCTGCAGGACACTAGGCCCTTCCTCGCAATTTAACCACTTATTCCACACACATGTAAGGCGGCTCCACGTCAAGCTGTGTCAAAACGGCTCATCACACTTTTGGCTTTATGTGTACAGTACAATACGCACACAGCTGCAGCAATGGTCAACTCCACACAAGTACTATACACACTGAATGTGTAGTGCAGCATAAAACTTCCAGACACATAACCTTCCAAAAAGGGAACCACAGCTACATGTACATGTAAGTACCCTTTGGCTTCACATTTCCTGGCTGTTTTTTTTCCAGAGCTGGTTTTTATCAGTTCCCAAGCCACCTTCCTGTTTCATCAGGGATTGGAAGCTCTGTTCCATTTCTTCCAACAGGGGTTACACGTAGCTTGTTCTTTTATGTCTGCACTTTTTTTTTCTTTTGGTTGAATTCCAGTCTGCAAAGTCAGCAAGGACTGTCGTCCTGGAGCTCCTGGTTGTATCTGATCTTAAAGAGCCCACTGAGGGCAGACAAGGTGCCGCAGTCTCGTCAGACCTGCCAGCAGGTTTTTAATGGCCTTTGAGACGTGTACATGCCCATAGAAATATGGAATCATATTTGATGGGTCAGTGGGCGGGGTCAACCTGCCGCCCACAGAAGTAGGTTTATACAAACACACTGGAGGGTCTACCTGAAAAATAAGGTTCCCAGACACTGAGGTAAAAAAGAGTTGTGTTCAAAAGGCCCTAGAAAAATAAACTGAATTCCTGTACATACATGTATGATGCACTGTATGAGCATGCAAACTTTGTGCATATAAAATTCAAGTTTTTGCTGCAATAGTTGATAATGAGGCATGAAACAAAAAGGCTTTCCCAAAAAGAGTTTCATGAATGGATTCCAAACTCTGTTCAGGATGTAATTTATTTATGAAGTACATGTATATAGGCTGTGATGGAATGCCTTTGTAAACACACTTACTCTACATGTAAGCCCCTAGCCGTGATTTTGCAACAACTGAAGCCGCTCCCTTTCAACTCAGAATTCAAACAGCCACATAGAAAGCCCTTTTGAAAAAGTACAGCAGCAAGACTTGTAATCCCAGTACAATGAGTGCGCAAACAGTCTATGGTACAATACTTGGTATGAAGACATTTTCATAACATTCAAGTCACTGACTCGATGCCAAACATGATATTGAAAATACATAAATACAGTGCAGGAAATGTATCAGAGCATTTCAATTCATGTTGTGTACATGTACAGTACTCATACAGCCGGCCAGCACTTTAAATTGAATGTAATTCTATGCAATCATGCATACTTTTAAACATGATTCCTTCAGGCAAGGTGTATGTTGGCTCTTCAACATTTCATGTCAGTGTTCATCACGGCATTTGACTAAACCGAGGCAGGTCCCACCTTGGACTGACCCCTGTCAAAAAAGTGAAATTTCCCATCCCAGGGAGCGCCTGTACAGGATTACAGGAAGTCATGTAAAAAGGCCAGGCCTGGGGCAACCACTCAGAGAGAAAACTTTGCATCTGCAGTATGCGGTGATTAGGACATGATCAACAGGCATGGCAGGGGAGAGGACTGCGGTATTCTGCTACGTGATCTGTGGTGAGTTTTGATTTTCCTTTCTTGTTCCTTTGCAAAGTTTAGGTTTCCTTTGGTTTCTGAGACTGCTTTTGTTCATTCTCTGAATTTAAACTATACCGTAGCTACATGTACAAAAGCTTAGGAAATACCAGTACTTACATGTAGATTACAGTCTTATACATGTACATGTCTTAAAAATGCCATCATGTACCAACATATCTGCCTTTGTCATTGTTAATGTGTAAGCACATACATACTGTACATGTACATTTAAGTGTTCCTGAGGAACAGTGAACATTTGAAAGGCAAAATTCTCTTACAAAGACTATTTTCACATCTTTGTGGGAAATTCACAGAATGCGGTACACATGCAAACTTTCACATGTACATGTGAGCACGCATGCTTGTGCAGTTGGTATTTAAGATAGAATTTATTTTGACGCCAATGCCACTGTCCTCAAACAAAAATAAGAAAGCGGTCAGAGGGCAATTGAAAAAACAAGGAAACAAAAACAAACCAAAAGGAAAGAGAAATTTATGCACTGCAACAGACTGCCAAGACACAGAAAATTTACAAGTACTGGCAGGAATGCACTTTGTCATACCAGAACAAAGGCAATCTTTGCTCAACAAGGAACGTTTACAACATTTGCAAAATATGCCAATACCATTACAAGTGCATGTATGTCACCGGTATGTGTACACACAGTATCAAACCAAGCACCAAAATGAGATGTGCAACTGTGAATTGATCAATGTCTACGGTACAATGTATGTTACGATGTACATCCAGACAGACTAGCAATTGCCAAGTCTAATTAACCCTAACAGTCCTCAATTCTCTAACAAGTGAAGGATTGAGGACTGAGTAACAGACCATCCAAGGCTCTCCAATGTACGTGTAACCTGATACATGTACATGTACATGTATGTTACGTCTGGCATATCACTTTTTAATGGTTAGAACTCATTGTTTTATTCCAAGATTGAAGAAGTGTATGCGCATTGCAAATTACCGGTACCTACCAAACAAATAACAATAGTTTGAAAACAATTTCAGAGATACATTCCTTGTCAAACGTGTCAGATGGTACAGATGTCAAAGATAACAGGGACAGAAAAATGTCACACTTTGGGCCCCAAATTTATAGAATGACCCATTTCCAGCTTGTACTTTGTAGATGGACACAGGACATAAGACCACCTCATTTTAATTCAGGATCTTGATTATTAATATATGCTCTCTATCATGTGCATTTGACCAGACCGGGATTTCTGAACAATCAAACATCAGTTAGTTAACCGCAAATCCACTACACTGCCCTAACCTCTTTCATTAACATTACTATGAACTACCCGTACCATTGTCATGTACATGTACCCGCCGGTATGCCAAGCAAAAGTGCACAAGCTTATACTGTACATGTACATGTACAGTACATGTATGTATGAATACCGCTAACTGAACATCACCAACACTCAAAAGTCACTTTTACACTATCAAGTCACAGACTGTCTCCAGACTACAGTATGCAGCAAAACACAAAACTTACAATGCCAACTACATGTACATGCACAAAAGCACAAGTGTACATGTACATACATATGTACATGTACTCGACTACTGGCACCTGTATTGTCTGCTGTACATGTAGCATCAACTACTTGCTGCCACTAGCAAACATCCTACCTTTGATACGAGTGGCGTGTAACAGGGATGCTGTATGAATGTAAAGAAGAACACAGGATACAAGACATAGTCAGCACACAAACCTAACTTTGCCAAATAAAAGTCCTTGTCAGGAGAGATTTCTAGGTAGGCACCCCTACCGTATATGACATGTCTCTGTCATAAATGTGCACACATGTACAAGTTTTCAGTGAGGAGTAATGTAATGTACCAGTATGCCTCTCCACACAAGATTCAGGCATGGCTTTAAACTCTTACAAAGTACCCCCAGTTTATCGATTCAAGTATTCGCAATGGTTCTTGAACCCGAGATGAAATGGAACTTTACTGTGGTTGAAATCAAGATTTCCTCTTTTAATGTCCTGTGTAACCTGTGGGTCGACTGAAATTATATTCAGTTGAAAAAAATTACGGGAGTACAACGTAGGAATTGAAATCAGGAATACTACTCAACCAATTGACCAAGATCTAGCCTTAGATGTGTGATACTTGGTGGTCACCGATTGTGACAATGTCTAGTATTCTGCCAATGGTCTGAGGAAATTCACTCTTCAATGTTTTGCTGAAAAAAGTGAGAGAAAAAACACTGAAAAGGGAACCAATTCTTCTGGGTGTGACAGGGTGAATCCAGCAGAGTCTACATGCATGTACATGTACATGTAACTATGGAATGGAAATTTCTTAGCAAAGATGGGTTTGCAAGCTAGGGTACAGTAACTCCAGCTCAACATACATGTACATGTACTGTGCATGCATGCAGAAACTGTGCACAAACCAGAATACTTGACGTTTCTTAAAAACTGATGAAAGAAAATTTTAAATTCGCCAGAGCACAGTGGTATGCATCTTCACTCAGGTGATTATGTCAAATTTACAGGTATTTAATTCAAATAGCTGCAAGTTCAAAAACAGGCAAGAATGGACAAAGATGTGAGAACAGAATACATGTACTAAATGGACAAAATGATACCATCTATTGTATAGAAAGTAGAGAACAAACAGAAGCAATTTTGTTAATCAAAAACTACGAAAGAATGACTGGGAAGAAAAATTGTTTTCCTTCATTTCAAGTGCATTTTGAGAAATATGAAATGGAAACTAAAATGTTTTAAAGCTCAGTGTACCATACTGTACATGCACATACTGCCAAATCTGCATTTAGACACACCGTACATGTATACACTGTACGTACCGGTAGCAATCAGATAGATGCGAGTGAAAGTGAACCAAGTCCACAAAAGAAATGAGGTTCAGTACATTTAGAGTAACAGGTAGAAAGGCTTACAGTAGCACCATGCGAAGGAATACGTGTATATTTCTTATGAGTATGTGTGGTTCTGAAGAGAACCACGGGTATTCTCAGAAGAGATACATGTACGTTCCTTCGCATGGTACCCGATACCACCGCAAGCCTTTCCACCTATTGCTGTCTTTCACCATGAAGAGCCTGAAATTCCATCTACATTTAGAGTGCTGACAGTAAACATGGTCAAAAACAAACACAAACCAATTTATTTCACTGACATCAATATTATTTTTCCCTTTCTCGGTCCACAGGGCCCTCTATGGATGCATAGTGAACATGTTAATTACACATGTACAGTATCGGTACATAAATGTAAATGTACTCATGTACAGATTTGACAAAACAATAGAACGTCATAAATGTGCCCACTCAACAGAATGTTTTTCTATGAAACAAAACCTAAAAAAACTTTCAAGCACGTACATGTACATGTAACTTTGAAAACTGTCCTCTGGAAAAACTTGCAAAAGGAAACAAAATATTTTCATTTTTGCTCATATTTATAATGTACCGTATTACATACATGTACACACACTGGTACAGCGGTGTTCTTTTTTAAAATCACAGAAATGTGCATACAGGTGGTGCATTACTCACTCATATTGTGACATGTACATTGTACCAGAGTAAGGAAAATTATTGTTTTCAAAAAATTGGCAATTTAGACTTTGTTATTTCTTATTACAAAAAAAAAGTAAAATTGAGAACCTTCAGTGCTGAGCTTTTTGGAATGACATACATGTACATGTATATGTACTCAAATTGAGGAAATAAATCCTGAATGTGGCTAATGAAATTGAAATATGCAAAGTTTGTCTGGTAAAGACAATTTTCAGTTGTGTAATTCCAAGTTTAACTTTTGAGGGAAGAGCGTTTTACCTTCCACCTTGACAGTCTGTGAATTCAGACTTCCTGGGCGCGGAATCCCTCCTGTCTTGCTGATCCGCGTCGGTGGCTTGAGTCCGGATCGGGGTGTTGCCATGGTAGAAGCAGTCTTATTTGGTTCTTTGGAGATGACGAATCTCAATCTCTTTGCTATCTCATCACCTCATTTGGATTTCAACCTACAGAGAACCGAGAGAAAAAAAACTAATATACTGTAGGCTTGGCTTCGATACAGAGCACCACCTTGTGCTGGTACAATGTAGTTGTACCGGTACAGTGCATGAAAACATGTATATGTACATGTACATACTTGTTCCATAGTTGTGGGGACAAACACAACATTTCACCTATTTTGTTGGGACCAAAAACATTCTGAGGACAGAAAAATGTCTCCACAACTTGATCCTCTTTTGAACAATGTTAACAAATTGTCCCCTTTAACTGTTGATGGCCTACTGTACATGTACCTACCATACATTACTAGGAAACATGAACAGCTCCCTCTGGAGGTAGTATGCAGCAATGCTGCCTACAAAAGGCATGCATCAACTTTCTGTACACCATGTTCAGCCTGTAGTGCATTTTGTATGTACATCACTGATGCAACAAGCTGACTTTAAAACATTTTCTGCTTTCAACAATGAAATGGACTGAGTTACACATGTACCGTACATGTACACATTTACTCATTAAACTCGTAATTTCCTTTTTGAAATGGACAATCAGTCCATCATTTTTTAGAAAATCCAGGAGAGCTATAAATCGCTCTCCTCAAAATAAACCAATTAACAGAAGTGCAAAACAACATCAAACAATGAGTCCATTATTTCCACTTTTTCTGATGGTTTATAATGTTCTTGAGGCAGTTTAAAAATTAATTTAGTTTCAGTTCAGTTAGAAACACAGGTTTATGACACATAGATGTAAATCATCTGCGATTGTTTTCTTTTTATTTGAACCAGAATTTTTATACAAGTTTGCAAATTAAAACTACATGTACACTACATGTATTTAACTACATGTACTCAATAAGTTTCAACCTACAAATAAACACAGTAAGTGTCCCTTACCTTTTTCATCCTGATTTCTTTCATTCAAAACATTAACAGTGACCATAATTTTGAAAAAAAAAACGGAAGGGAATTTGAAAGTTTAAACTGCACTTCAACTTTGTTCAATTGATGCAGACTGTCACCAAGCCACCTCCATCACCATGGGAAAATGTCACACCAACACACATGTGCGAATGTGACAATGCTTACGAATGATCCTGTTCTGACACACACTGTATGTATGCACAAAGCAACATTTTCATGATGACCAAAAGTTCATGCCCACACCGCTTTCTGCTTAAGGGCCCAGTAAAGAAGATCGATGCTGATTGGCTCTCTTTTCACTGAAAACTTTTTACTGACCAATAAAAACACACAACAGATTGTGTCGCGCACAGCGAAACTACATGCAACATACAGGGGTACATGTACATGTGCATGTACAGTACATGCATGATTACGTACAGTGTACCAGTATGTACTTGTACATGTATGCTATGTGTGCAGGGTGGCTGGCTAGCCGGTCCAAAAGCCTATACGCCTTCGTATGAAAGTTGCGGCAGGATAAATGCAAAATTGTAAATTATGAACGAATCACACAATCCTTTTTTTGGTGATGTTATCCACTGTTTTTGTCATATCATTAAGTAAAGTGCCCTTCGATTTTTTGAGGAATGCAATTTTTTATGCTCCTTTAGGACTGTTGAGGAGCGCGGTAGGAGCTTTCAATGGACAATGGTTTGGTTCACCAAATTCTGTGACAAAATTATAAGATGGATATGTTCCTTCACTCAGTTTGGTAAAACTTGAAACTTCTCACACCTCCAGACTGAACATCAAACATGAAGGAAACAAGGGCCCTACATCTAAAGGTACAAGCATGTGGCATTTTGAGATAAACTGGAATCCTACGTACATGTACGGGTGCATATATACAATGTAAGACCAATAGCCCTTCAGGTAAAATACATACCGGTACCTGTTATCTTTTTAAATTGCTTTAAATGTATTTTTTGAGACAGTAATGTACTGTACACATACCAGACAGATTAACTTCTTAACTTAAAAAGTGCCGTACATGTACATTGTATATGCACAGTCCATGTTTACAGATGACAAAAATCCAGGCTAACATGTCTGCTGTTTGTATGTATACTTACTGTATGTGAACATGTATGTACATGTAACTGCTCCAGATAAATACTGACACGTACCCCTTTCAAAAATTGTGTGAATGACAATCACTTGTGCACGTGTTAGCATTTTCCAAGTAATGGCAATTGTGGGCCAGGAAATGATATTATCATAGCTGAATGCCCACGGGCAATGGAAAACACATTGAGGTCTGGATTGTTCCAGCCTTGCATTTATAAAAGTATTCAGGTTTCTGCATAAGATCTACAGTATCTGATGTTGGGGGCAGGAGATGATGACCTGCAAAGATTTCTAGTTGACAGAGGTCACAGTGTTTGTGCACAGAATAATTTATGTAGTTTGAGGGATAAAAAAAGGTGACAAACAATTAATGATGAAGCACTTTTTTGTCATGTCATTATTTCAGAAATGTATCCCAGATTCTTCTCCTTGTAATTAAATAAACCAACACACACACCCCCCAACCAAACAAAATTTTCCAATTTGACAACATGAATTTGATTTTTAGCCACAATAACTTCACAAACCAGGACTGAGAACTGAGGAACAGCTTGATTCCATCTGCTGGCACATTGAGATTTTCACCAGGTGTACCTTTTCCTTAGTGCCATCTCATTTCACAACTCAATCATTATGCATGCATACACGTACATGTATATATGCCCAAACAGTAGCCCATTTCAGTTGGGCCTGTACCACACTGTACAAAGCCAAGGTTACGGAAAAATTCCACACTATGTACATGTATGTCTACCACCAAATTTCATCTATCCCATAGAAAATGCTGGAACACAGGAACAGCGACAGAGCTTCAGTCTGTTATGGAAACACCCTGTTTCTAGGCCTGATGATGCACCGTAAGGCCAAGATGACGTGGCATCCACATGACTCAGGCCCCACGCATGTACACAAGCTACGCTACATGTACGTCATAAACACATGATAAAGAGCCCATGGTCGACACATGCCTCAATCAAGAGGCGGGAACATGTGCCGCATCCAAGTAGCGGGCTGGCCATCCAACCATTAATGATGCCCCGTGAGATGTACCAATGTGGTATCACCATTTAACGGCCGCATTCTTTGACTCCATGGAGGTGTATGACATCTGGCATGGCAGGGACAATTAGGGATTCATGAGGGAAACTTGAGCTACCGTACGCATGCAGTCCTTAATTGAATATATCTCAAATTGAGAAGCACATGCTACAAAAGCTGCACTGCTCACGCACGTAGTGTTCCATGCGATGTTTTTGTACAGTATGTGTTATGTGCATATACTTCATAACCCGTTGGCCCTACATGGAAGCCAAAGGCATTGCATTACAAGCGAGGTGCACTGACAGTATTCACACATTCTACTAGTACAAGATGTTCAGATAAATTAGGAGGGAACATTTCGTGGCAGAGTGAAAAGCCACTAGGATAAAATGAAGGTTAGAAATGCTTTCAGCAAGATTTATTTTTGTTGAAGTTAACTGTTGAAACAATGGCAAAATAAGCATGTTTTCACTCTATGGAAACTGGACAGACACTGTGACAAGCGATATTGCTGGTTTACATGTAGCTCTCCCTAAATTCCTGTTGAAAAATAACTTAATCATATAAAGATCTATGGATTTAGAACATTTTTCCGTACCTGCCATATTTTCATACCCATATTTTAACGGGTGATTTGTTATATTTTCCCCATGATGTCATTTGATGTAGATAACCTGAAAATCATGAGTATAAAGCTACACATGTACATGCATGGCATGTCTCTACAGGACCTCCAAAATAAGGATATTTTTATCCAATGTCTGGTTATTTCAGTAACTAATTTCATTATTACTTTGTGAACTACAATATTTCATTCTCTGCAGCTGTACAAATAATGGTAGAATTGTTTAAGTTCATTTCTTGGCTCCTTAGGTAAGTAGCAAAGTTTAAGAGAGCGCTGTTTCTGAGGTTGAGCAATTGTATCATTTAGTGTGGACAGACAAAATGATGTGTACAGATGTGCACAAACATAGGCAACTGTGTATATGTATAAAGAATATTACATGTACCGTATACATACATACATGTACATGTACATGTGCATGTACATGTGTGAACATGTATGAACATGTAGCTGGGTGCAGGGGGCACATGTATACAAAAATCATTACTTATTTAAAAATCATCCAATTAAAAATGTTTACCTGGAATGAAATCTGAGTGGTAGAAAACAAAATGCACCGGCGAGGTGCACACAAGTTGCAATGAGGGTTGTTCTATGAAGTTGGATCATGTTTTTAACATTACAGGTACCGGTGACCGTATTTGTAGCAGGGAAAAAAAGGGGTTCTGAGAGTAACTTACAAACTACATATCCTATCTACATGTACATGAACCAGCATATGTATGTACAAACTATGTCTCAACATGGCAAAGTATGGTACATTGTACATGTACCGGTACCTCATGGTACGGTACATGAACAACCCATGTGACCGGCTCTAGAAAAATGGGTAATAAGTCGCCAGATTCTGGCTATCAGTTATTGGTATGGCTGGATTGAGTACATCAAAAGCTACAATTTGAGATATGAATGCCCCGTATGCACTGTGTTCCAGAGATATTTAAACATTTGTATGTATCCACATTTTCAGATTCAATAAAAGCACTTTTCGAGAAAAAGCTCAGAAAGTGTAGCACTTGGAAACACAATGCTATGTAGGATTTCTTACTGAATGATCATTTTTTCATCTTTATTCATCAGTATCCATGTTTGTAGTCACAAATTCTGAAAACAGAAATGTACAGGTAAATGTTATACAAGCTAATAGAGGAAAAACACAAAATCACATTTTTGAAGGCATTTTGCCCTCTCCAAATAGAACAGGCCATAACATATTTTGGAATTGCGCGACTTAATACCCTTTTTTCCAGAGCGGGTCACATATGCCATACACGTACATGTACATGAATAGAGTTGAACTTACTGG